ATGGTGGCTCACACCTGTAATCTCAGCACTTTGGGAGGCCAAGGCAGACAGAGAGTTTTGAGCTCAGAAATTCAAGACCAACCTAAGCAACATTGCAAAACCCCTTCTCTACAAAAAATACAAAAATTAGCCAGGCATAGGCCGGGCACGGTGCCTCATGCCTGTAATCCCAGCACTTTGGGAGGCTGAGGTGGGCGGATCACCTGAGGTCAGGAGTTGGAGACCAGCCTGGCCAACATGGTGAAACCTCATCTCTACTAAAAACATAAAAAAATTAGCCAGGCGTGGTGGCAGATGCCTGTAATCCCAGCTACTTGGGAGGCTGAGGCAGGAGAATTGCTTGAACCCGGGAGGCAGAGGTTGCAGTGAGCTGAGATCACGCCATTGCACTCCAGCCTGGGTGACAGGGCAAGACTCTGTCTCAAAAAAAAATTAGCCAGGCATGGTGGCATACACCTGTAGTCCCAGCTACTTGGGAGTCTGAGAAGGGAGGATCACCTGAGCCTAGGAGGTCAAGGCTGCAGTGAGCAGTGATCATGCCATTGCACTGCAGCCCGGGTGACAGAGTGAAATCCTGTCTCAAAATTCTGCAGATGTTGAAGAATCTTGGAAGATTAACTACTAGGAAGATGCAACACATCAGCTGTGTTTCCAGGGTAGATATCAGGTCTTACAGATACAGTGTATTAACAAAGAAACGCCAGCAGGAAAAGAAAAATGAAAATGATTATGATGCATGTTTTCAAGCAGATAAGAGCAGAACACTAAAGGAGATTAGATACTTGCCTGTGGGGTTTTTCAAGTGTAAAGTCTGACAAACCACCAAATAGATTCGGACAAATCTACTTGCAACCTCACTTTGTTCCTCAGTCATGGGCCTATCATGACCCTCCCCCCGCCAAGCAGTGTTTCACAGCCATGTTGGAATCTAAATGGAGGCTTTGGTGCCCGATGGCATAGTCTAGCCTACCTACTGACCTAGTCTTTAAAAGAATCCATCTATCCTTGATCCCACAGATGGAATTAGAAGTCATCACATCAATAATCCAAAATGCCAAAAATTACTGCCAAGAAGGATAAAAAAATTGTTTTTCAAATTTCAGGTCAAAATTAGTATTTAGAATACTATACCAAATAATTTGAGTACATATTTAATAGTAACCCATGTGATAATCAAAAACTGCTTACTGTTTTATTTTCTAATGAAATGTTCCAATGTTTTAGTCTGCCTTCTATAATGGAAAGGCAGTAAATACAAGGACTTGAAAAGAGCAACAGACTTGTAAGATTTGAGTTTGCTTTTGGCTAGCTGTGTTACCTTGTGGTTATGTACTTAGGTCACCAATTTCTTCACTTACAATACGGACTTAACACCATCTGCTCATTGCACTGGGTTATAATGAGGAATGAATGAAATAATCTAGGTGCAAGTGCTTAGTAAATTTTAATGCACATCACAAAGGTAAGGTTTGGAAATGGTTAATGCTTTTAATAGAACTATGAAATGTTTGTTAGAATGGGCCCTGGGAGATGATCTATTATAATGATTTTTTAAAATTTTCTTTTTAAACCTGGAGAACCCTTTGTTCAAAGGAAACATTTTAAGCAAACAGGGGCAAGTATCTCTGGGTGAATTACCTGCACTTGTCTCTCTCTGCCCACTGTTGTGGTGGTTTCCAAAAGGGGTTTCCAGAGCCCACAGGGCTCCAAGGAACACAGCATAAAATCCACTGATTTAGCCCAACCCCTGGTTTTACAGATGGGGAAATGGGCCTAGAGAGCAGAAGCAAATGTCTTAAGAGTGTGGCTGCAGAGTGGATGGACTGTTCACATGGTCAGTAAGACTGAATAGTCCAATATATGGTCAGCATTTGGTCAAGGTCCTTGGAGACCTTGAAAAGCTCTCTGAAGATGATTCCTCTATAAAGTGTGTGAAGGCTGGTGTCTTACCTTGGTTTTCCTGAGTCCCACAGTGCACAGTGTCCTGGGAATTATTCTTGTCTTTTTGGAGCCTGAAATATTGGTGCTGCATAGCACAAGGAAGGTTCCCACTAAGACCTGAGATAGCTGGAGGAGCAGCCTCCTTGGGGCTGATGATCAGCTCCACAAAGCCTAACAGCATGTTTAACTCTCCCAGAGAGCTGTGCTCACAACCTTATAGGCAACCTGCTTCCTCCCTTCCTTCTCTCGGCCTGTCACCATCCTGCTGACTCTCCTGTAATAATGTTTCTGTGCCAATCCCAAAGCAGAGAGACGATAGGTCTACAACAATTAGAAGGCAAGTTCCATGAAAGCAGGGACCATACCTGTCTTGTCCATCCTCTATAACTAAAACCTAGAACAGCACCTGGCACATAAACAAGAAATAGTCACACCAGACTACCTGGGTCTAAATCCTAGCTCTTCCTGCTTCCCAACTGGGTCACCTGGGGGCATGCTATTTAAGCTCTCTATGCTTTAGTTTTCATATCTCTAAAATGGGAATAGTAACAGCACCTAGCTCCTAATTTGGAGGATTAAATGAGCTAGTATAAAAAAGCTCTTGGCCAGCATACAGTAAGCACTATGCAAGTATTTGCTATATTACTTGAGAGAGGCTTTCTTTGGAGGCCAGTCCCTGGTGGGAAATTCCAGGTTGCACCTCCTCATCTCAAGCCAGATGTGCACTTAGTGACTAGCAATGCCAGTGTGCAAAGGGTCTAGAGGCACTGAGTCAGGGGTCTCAAGCTTTTTTCCATTGTGATGATGTTCACGAGACTTTAGTAAGGGGTATGCTGTCTTCAGTCTGCTTGTACCAGAATGCAGGCAGGCAAGGGTAGTAATATGACCTTGAATCATCTCTATTGTATAAAGGAAGTCACTTGTAGGCGTTAGTACTGATAACCAACATTTGTAACAAAGCACATGAAGCATACCAGCTAATCCCAATATCTTAGAGCCACGGGGCCAGGCAACTAAGTCTACCCAATGACATCTGTAAGTATTTTCTTGTGTAATCCAATTTTATTTTCACCAAAATACTCAGACAAAGGAGAACAAAAAGAGATGATTTGTTTCAGAATCAAAGCAACAGACATTAGAGAACGAGTACTGCATAGTAATATTGAAAAGCAGAGGAGAGAGAATGTCTTTTATGTTTCCTCAAAAAGCCAGTGATTTTTCAGTCAAGCACTTGTCTCGTTTTCTCCTGAAGTGGCAGCACCAACATTTCTGCTCATCCCTGACTATCTGCATTGCCTGTCAGTTGCTAGGCAACTCTAACAGTGATCCAGCATGTGTTAGGTACCCACCTTGCTTCTGACCACCCACAATACACAACTTTCGTAACTGTTCTCATTGGGTTTGCCAATTACACCTAGGCACTAACCAAGGCTTCTCTTAAACCTCATCTTCCTCCTGCTTAGTCCTGTGGTAACATTTAAATACCACAGTTGTCATCATGTCCCAATAATTTCCCTAACAACCGGCTGCCCATCAAACATGGGATGATTTTATGGTAGGATCAAAACAGATGGGAGGAAAATCTTATTAAAAACCATAAATATCTCTCCATAAAAGCAAGTAACCAATCAAAAGAGGAAATCGCCAGCTAATATAACATCCTAATAAGTTCAAGTGAACTGTTAATTTTGAGTTTCTCTGAATGTATAAATGTGGCTGACTGTACTTGTCCTGATTAAATAGAGTAATTGTGAGCAATTTAAAAATTAACCACATATGTCTGGGTGCAGTGGCTTACGCCTGTAATCCCAGCACTTTGGGAGGCCAAGGCAGGCGGATCACAAGGTCAGGAGTTCGAGACCAGCCTGGACAATACGGTGAAACCCCGTCTCTTCTAAAAGTACAAAAATTAGCTGGGCATGGTGGCATGCACCTGTAGTCCCAGTTACTCGGGAGGCTGAGGCAGAAGAATCCCTTGAACCCAGGAGCCGGAGGTTGCAGTACGCCAAAATCACGCCACTGCACCCCAGCCTGTGCGACACAGCGAGACTCTGTCTCAAAAAAAAGAGGTAAAAATAAAAATAACCACATATTTGGTTTAGAAAAGGCTATATATCTCTGAAAAGATCTTTTTTGGAGACAGGGTCTCGCTCCGTTGCCTAGGCTGGAGTACAGTGGTGCCATCATGACCCACTGCAGCCTCAATCTCCCAGGCTCAAGTTATCTTCCCATCTCAGCCTCCTGAGTACCTGGGACTGCAGGTGCACACCACCATGCCCCCTCCCCTTTTTTTAAAATAAATTTTTTGGTAGAGATGGGGTTTTACCATGTTGCTCAGGCTGATCTCGAATTCCTGAGTTCAGGTGATCCGATCGCCTTGGCCTCCCAAAGTGCTGGGATTACATGTGTGAGCCACTGCACCCAGCTTGAATATGTCTTAAGGTCATATATATTATACAGATGTGTTACACAGGCAAAACAGATAAAGGCTTTATAAGGTGCTTTCTTAAATCCTAAGAGGCCTAATGAATATGAGAGACATAAAAAATCAAGCAGTGAACTAATATTAAACACAGCATACTTTTTAATAGGAAACAACCACATGTTTTCCATCATCATCCTTGGGATTCCATAAATGAGATAAAAGCCAAAGGTATAAATGCATTTTCCAAAATTTAAGTGGCAAGGCTAGTAAGTGGCAATCTCAAACTAGGACTTGGATCTTTGGACTCTATCTCAGGTTATTTCCTCCATAATATGCTAGATGACTGGGTAACGTCACCATTTGTGGACCCTGGGTTTAAAAATGTTGATGGGTTACAGCTATTAAACCCAAGCAACTAGTAGTAGTGGTTTCCAGATGAGGAGCGGGCTGGGGAACGGGAATGGGAAGACATACCTTCTTTATATACCATTTATATATTGTGTATGTTACCTACTTGAAAAAAATAAGTTTTTAAAAGGGCACTGATTCAGATATTTTTTGGTCACTACCCATGTGCCATGCAGTGTTAGATGCTAAGCAGAAAAAGATGAGTAAGATCAGGCACCTTGCTTACCCGAAGCTCATGATACAGGGAAGCAAAGGGATCCAGAAAGAAGCAATCAGGTCGATGCCTACAGAAGCAGTGAGAAAAGATATTCAAAATTAAAAAAAAAAAAAAAGGAATCAACTGGGAAGATGTAAAAAGGATCAAGTAAAAAGCGTCATGAAAACACCAAGGAAAAAATAATGTCTGCTGAGCTAGAAAAAGTTTCACTTTAAGGGGAGCATTTGAATTAGAACTTGAAAGAAAAGTATGGTTATTCTAGACAGTACAGAAAAAAATAAAACCTGAGAAGCAGTCTGAAAATAAACTGCAGTTAGATTAAGGGGGATACCATTCATTCAGTTTGGAGCCACTACAGGCCAGGTACCAAACTAGGCACTATATTAGCCAATCTGCCAGAAAGCACAAACACTAAAGAATAATTACCAAAGATCACAATGAGTATTCTGGTAGGCAATGAAGCCTGATAATTATAAACTCATTTTCTCTACAGTAAAAGGAAACTTCTAATGCAGATAGTTCAGCAGAAACTTCATTAAAAAAGGTTTTGGTGCAGATTTTATGATTCTTGGTGATGTGGTTACTATGGCAACTGTATACTAAAACATGACCCAGGGTCTATGAAAAATGCTTTCAGTCAGAACTCAGTCACAACACATAATGAAAGAGAGGAAATGAAAACTGTGATTTATATTTAAAATAATAAAAGGGAAGATTAAAAACTATATTAAGGCTAGCATTTGTATAAGATTCCAATTCCTGACATTCTGTAGCCAGTTTTCACATTTGTGAAATGTCAACTGGATGAAACAAAGTCCAAATGATCAGGAAGTCAACATCCTCTACTTATGATGGGTAGAGACATAACAGGCAATAAGATATTATGTAGACCCAATAGGAACCATACGAAACACATTTTCTAAGGGGATGAGATTTTTTAAGATTAGGAAATCAGATCTTTTGTGATTCTACGAATCTTTTATAGTACTATTGTTTTTAACAACTCTGCATACCCAAGTAAATATGGTTCTCCAAAGCAGTCATGCTGCGGGGTTGGTCCCTTACTCCAGTACAGCTGCCTCTTTTGGCTCCACGAAAGTATAGAACTTCACTTCTCAAAGAGCTTTGGAGCCGGAGGGTCAGTCTTTTGAGTGTGTACAAGGGTACTTTTGCTTAACTATAGAAAACAAACCCCAATTTTGGAAACAGTAAAAAATTAATTCCAGCCAAGATTGGAGAATAAGAGGGTAAATCGAACTAGGAAAGAAATATCAGTGGGTTAGGCACAGTGGTTCATGCCTATAATCCCAGCACTTTGGGAGGCCAAGGTGGGCGGATAATCTGAGGTCGGGAGTTCGAGACGAGCCCGACCAACATGGAGAAACCCCATTTCTACTGAAAATACAAAATTAGCCGTGGTGTGGTGGTGCATGCCTGTAATCCCAGCTATTCAGGAGGCTGAGGCAGGAGAATCGCTTGAACCCGGGAGGCAGATGTTGCAGTGAGCCAAGATCGTGACATTGCACTTCAGCCTGTGCAATAAGAGCGAAACTCCATCTCAGAAAAAAAAAAATTCAGTGAAGTCTGTGGAAAGCAGAATCGAAAGATGGCCCCTGGTGCACACACCTATATATCCCCTTTCCTTGAGGATGAGCCAGAATTGTGAATATGATGGAGTTTCACTTGCATAATTCGGTTATCAATTAATTGACTAAGTTACTCAAAAGGGAAATAATCTTGGGTGGGCTTGGGTTGGGTCCTTTTTGAGATAGATCCTCCTGCAGGTTTCCAAGAAGCACCCCATGAGGAATGCAGCAGAACACCACGGGAAGCACCTAGGAGCTGAGAATACCTGGCTGACAGCCGACAAGAAAGCTGGAACCTCAGGCTCACAGCCACAAGCAACCGTGAGCTTGAAAGAGGACCCCAAGCTTCAGATGAGATCACAGCTGGGTTGACACCTTGATTTTAGCCTGGCGAGACACTGAGCAGAGGGCTCAGCTGATCCACGCCCAGACTCCTGACCCACGGGAACCATGGAATAGTAAATTTGTATTGTTTTAAGCCCTCTTAGTTTGTGATCATATATTACAAAGGAACAGAAAACTAATGCAAGGCTGAAAATAAAGAGTGTCTGTTAAGAAACAATACTTATTTGCTAATGTGTCATGTCAACTCATTTTGAAAGAACTTGGAAGAGTGGCAAGAAAACTTGAGCAATGGCAATGTTTTTGGCCAAAGCACCTACTTTCAAACACTTATTTGGATATGTAGCTCTAGATTATTTTTTAAAGTCTATCATGTTAAAAGTCAAAATTCATACTGCCTATCATTCACTGTGCTTATTACCCCTATAATTTTTTCTGGGGAATTTAATTTTATTGTACTTAATGTTGGTTATTCATTTCAAACCCAAACATTAGTATGGATCAGTAGTAATAATAAAGTAGAAAAATATCAAAAGTTAAATTTATGTAGCTTTTGACGTATTTACCTTTGGCTAAAATCCAATTCTTAAAATCTAGTATGTCTGCTACTTTGCTGACAGACCATTAGATTTGCTGGGCATGAGCACTTCGTTTGGACTAGAATCCAGTGCTCTCTACAATCTTGCCTTACTATTCTAAAGCAAGTAAATATATTAAATGAAAGGATATATTATATCCGTTGTTCATAAACTTTTGAATTTATTCTCAAGGATGATGATATTGTCCATCAGAGCATAAAATCTAGGGAATATTTAGAAACGTATAAGGCTTTTTTTTTTTTTCAGCTTTCACCAGGACTTGGCAGTTAGTATGTGAGGGCCAGGTTATTAAATAACTTATAATGCATGGGACAATCTTGTATAACAAAAAATTATCTTGACCAAAATAACAATAGTGTTCTGTTGAGAGACACACTATTTGAGTGTAAGCTAAAGTCAACTATTTAAAATCACATCTTATTCTACAAAATCTCATGGAACAAGCATTTAGAAAAGCACTCAATTATTCCAATCAATTCAAATTATAACATTCATTGAACTGCTTTCCATAGACCCACAACTAATGAAGCCTCAGGCAACCCAGGAGGCATCAAAGAAACAGTAATATCTGAAAGCAGGTAAAAAGGCAAAGTCTGGCCACCCACTACTGCTCTGAACTCACCTACCCACCCATTCTATTGACTCTAGTAACACTTACTTTGCTGTTAATCAAACACAGCAAGCATATTCCCACTCCCCACCCCACACAGGAATGCTTTCCCTCAGCGACCCATCCACATGGCTCTTCTCTTACTTCTTTCAGGTCTCTGCATGAATGTCACCACGTCAGGAGGCCTTCTCTGACCCTCTTCTTTAAGGAGCAGCCTCCCTCCCCAACCCGGGCACTCATACCCTACAGGACAGTGTTTGAGGGTGGGGACTCTGGGTTCTTGGGCACCTTGTTTAACCTCTGTGCTTCAGTTCTTCCATCTGAAAAGGGGATTCATGGATACACTGTAGAATGGCTATGAGGATTACATGAATTAATATATATATATATATATAATGTGCTTGGAACTGTGCCTGGAACTTCTGGTTAAGAACTACAATGTTAGCTCTGAAAATTTAAAAACAACTACCTAAACCAAATTTGAAATAAAGCATTTAACTCATTTCATTTGATAGCAAAACTTGATCTTAACTCAATGGGCAACAAAAGTTGAACTAAGATGACATGAGGCTACCTGTGATCTTTGCTTCCAAAATGTTTTATTATAAAGTGTTGGTCCAGATACTACTAGGCATATTAACAGACAGTATAGGTACCATATTATCTTTTAAAATCCAAATATTGAACTACATATGGTACCAAGAATTTAGAATTAAAGACTGTGCACCTAAATTATCATTCCATTTTTTTCTGTATAGCACTTACCACCATTTGCATATATAAACATACTTCTTTGCTTTTTGTATAATTCCCAGCACCGGAACATAAAGTCAAGATGTTTTATTGTTTATTGCATTCTTAGCACCTAGAAAAGTGTGTGGTCCACAGTAGGTGCTCAGAAGTTATGTGCTGGATAAAAATGGTTAAATCTGATAACCCAAACAGAATATATATATAACATTTTTCTTAGTAGAAGAAAGGTTATTTCATGGAGAATGTGTGACCAGTTGCTCTTCAACCCAGGAGGGATGGCTTGAATCCAATTCATTTGCTTGGCAATGCAACACCTGGTAGGCATGAAAAGCCCACCTGATATGTATTTCTTGTATGTTCTTCAGTGCCCAGGCATTGATCTGCTATATTCTCCTCAGGAAGTCACAAAGGATTATGGTGTCAACAATCAGTACTAACCCAAACTCCAAAACATACTATATGTACACCACAGTTTTAAGTTCATCTCCAACAAACAATTCCACCTGAAGTCCCCACCATGATAAATGAATCTGCAATCAAATTCACCATCATCCCACTGTGGGAGGCCAATTCCATTCCCTGACTTCTATACTGATATCAGTGACAATCCCCGTCTCCACATCCCAAACTCAGGAATCATCTTTGAGGGCCCTCCCATGTTCCATTATGCAGTCTAGGCAGTGCTTTCAAAGTTACCACTTCCATCCTAGCCTTCATCAGCCTTCACATGTCAGGCACCTGGCCAGTCACCAGGGTATGCTGAACAAGACAGGCATGGACTTGGCCTCAGAGTCTACAGGGGAAGCCAGATAATTACACAAGCAACCACAGTGAATAGAGAAAGAACACTGACAATGCAGGAATCTAGGGCATTATGGAAGACACCAGGCTCCAGAAGTGATGTTTTGGCTGAAAGACTGAAAATTAAGGTCTTATTGGGTAAAAACCCACCTATGTAGAATAGTCAAAAAGCATTACAAGTGCAATTAACTAATATGTATGCAATGAATTCTTTGGTAAATCTCTTTCATGCAAATGTAAATTCTATGAGAACCTCATCTTAATTACTCTCTTCTTGCCACAGTGGCCAATACATATTTGCTGAGTAATGAGTAGAACTGCCTCAACTCTGCTGCCTTATTCCTCATTGAGAAGAGGGAGGGGATAATGCCACCTCACAGCTCTTGTGGGGACTGAAAGAGACTACTATGTAGGTAAAACACCAGAAGTGTCTGCCACATGGTGGCTACTTAATGAAGGTCAATTCTCTCCCCTGCCCTGCTCTTCTTACTCCCACAGGTCACCATGGTTGGCAGCTCAAACCTTCATAGTTGCTGTGCAGATGAGAAGTCTGAGGCTTAGAGAGATTAAGAAACTTGTCCACGGCAAGACTTGTTCAATAGTAGACATGACCATCTCATCTAGTACTGTCTGACAATGCTAAAGCTCATGCTTGAGAGACAAAATAGTGAGGTGTAGGAGCTGTGAGCTCCACTGGCGGCACATGGATCTAAGGATCTGGACAGGGAGGGACCAGCAGAGGCTGAAAGAGGCTCCAGGAGGAGATGGGACCTGAACACAACTCTTAAAAGATGAGTAGCAACTGAAGAAACAGAGAAAAGGGATGAAAGGATCAGGAGAGGAAACGACATGGGCTGCTGGCTGGATGACTTCAGGGGCAAAGGAGGCTAGCCTGGCTTCTTCTCAAAGTTCCTGTTGGGGATTAATGGGTAAGAATGGTGAAAATGGTGTGGCTGGGGCATGACTTCCAAACTGAGGAATCTGTACTTTAGCCTACAGGACATGGGGAATTCTGAACATGGGACAATGAGGAAACTCTACGTTTCAGAAAGGTGAAGGGGCATGGGCAACCAGGATGAGTGGCCTGTGAAGAACACCCACGTGATGGCACAACAGATGGGAAACCCTTTCAGAAGTCCAGGTGGTAAGTTTCTGACCTGGTAATTGCAAGGACTGGTAGAGGAAACTTCTGAAACATTTCAAAGATGAATAGGCTTTGATAGCTATTTACAAAGCATCCACGTGCCCACCTCAAGCACAGAATTGGTCTCTTCCTATTGTAATTATTTCTGTGTCTGGCTCCTCACATCAGAGACTGTGAGTATCTAAAAGGCACTATCTAGATCTTCTGTTTTATCCTGAGTGCCCGGCATCCACAGGAGGACCTCAGTAAATGTTTGCCCAACATTTGAAGGAATAGTGAAAGAGGACATTCAGGCTTTAAACCTGGTAATAAGAGACAGGTGCCACAAGGGCAAACAAGAATGTTGGGAAAAGAAATCTCCATCTACATACGATGAGTTCGGTTTGGGAACATTCTTTCTGGCAGATTCAGAAAAAGTGACAGACAGACAAAATGTCCAAACCTAATCAAGGGAGCTGCTTACTGGGAGATGCCACTTATATTGGGAATCTACACTTTCCTTGGTTATGGAAGGGCTGAGAGAGTGGGCTCTATGTATCTAAGTTGTTATTTATGTTTCTTAGAAATCTTGCAATCATATTGGAATGCCCAATGTCCCTTTCCTCTTTTATACAACAATCAAAGTAAAGCCTGATACAATTTCTTCGGAATTAACTAGTCTTTGTAGAAAACAGGCACACTGGCTGGGCACGGTGGCTCACGCCTGTAATCCCAGCACTTTGGGAGGCCGAGATGGGCGGATCACGAGGTCAGGAGATCGAGACCATCCTGGCTAACACTGTGAAACCCCGTCTCTACTAAAAATACAAAAAATTAGCTGGGCGCGGTGGCGGGCGCCTGTAGTCTCAGCTACATGGGAGGCTGAGGCAGGAGAATGGCGTGAACCCAGGGGGCAGAGCTTGCAGTTAGTGGAGATCACACCACTGCACTGCAGCCTGGGTGACAGAGCAAGACTCCGTCTCAAAAAAAAAAAAAAAAAAAAAAAGAAAACAGGCACACTAAACCTGTATGTGGATTAGGAGGGGCATCAGACACTAGAGAAGAGGCGCGCTGCTGTCTGGGTTCCACCACTTATTACTGCATGATACTCGGCAGCTTATTAATTACTTTGTGCCTCCTGGTCATCATAGAGCTGTTGTGAGAATTAAATAAGTAAATACACATGACTGCTCACACAGAACAATCTGGCGTATTGAAATTGCTGAATGAATGTTGTTGCTATTAATCTTTAAACATTTAGGAAGTAGATATAGCTTTCAGTCCAGTTATTACAGAACAAAACTAGAAGCTACAAATCCATAATGACAAATTTCAAGTTCTTACAATAAACTTCAAATAACTATAATTTGCTTAATTTAGTAACAGCCATTCAACATTAAAGCAGATATTCACAGTACAAAACTGACAAGATACTAAATGAGTAAACTGACAGTGGATGTTTTCTGACTTAATTTTAGAAAATACATGCTAAAGGTATCTGAACCTGTGTTTCCTTTTACACAGCCTCATGGAATCACTCGGCTATTCCTTGAAAACCCCGTGTATTTTCCCACCTCCATGGCCTTTGTCTTCACTAGTTCCTTCCAATCCATCTGGGTTTTCTCTCAGGCTTACTTCTAGGCCTACTTACAACAGCACCCCTTTACTTAGTTTAGCTGATCTCTCATTTGATCCTGCCTCTGCCCCAGCAAGGCAATACATTTCTAAGAGTGCTTACAATACAGTGCTTACACAGGTAAACACCTAGGATACAGGGTCACATGCATGGCAGGGCTCATACTTCCTGGCTCTTTGTGTTCCCACACTACTGAACTACAAAAACTTTGCCTTTAGAAAAAGATTACTCACAGGGTTACTTTAATCTCCACTTCCCTTAATACCCTTGAAACAGAATCAATAATACGCAATTTCTGTGAAGTACATCACCTTTTTATTACATTTTGAGGGAAAACAACACCCAAACAGACATTAAATTAAACTTTTCCAATAAAGTAGAAAGACTCAAGATTGCAACACCAAGTCTTACTAAATCTCCAAGCTGCTGGTTTGCCCTATGGATTTTGGACTTGCCAGCCCCCACAACTGCATGAGCCAACTCCTTAAAATAAATCTTTCTCTTTCTCCAAGAAGATGTAAGTGGCTCTTTTGTTTAAAAGTTTGTTCATGAGTGCTGTTCCTCTCTTAAAGAAATAATTCTACTCTGTGATACTTTAATTAGTTGCTATTGACATTAATTATGTTACTGAATCATGAAGAGATGCCTAATCGTTCGGTTCAGCCTGGGAGTCAGGAACTAAAGTTCTAGTTTTCAAAGGGCATAGCAATTTATCTTCCTATAAAAATAGACACAAAAATGCCAACAGGTAGGTGGTTTCTTATAGGGGTGATGAAAATATTCTAAATTTAGATTATGGCAATGGTTACATAATTCTGTGACTATACTAAACCATTAAACAGTAGAGACTAAATGGGCAGGTTTTATGGTATGTGAATTATATCTTAAAGATGTTTTAGAAAAGGACACATAAGAGATTTGAATGCCTTGGGTTTTAATTACCTAAGGAGAAACTAAGAAAAAAATATTAATTTTAACATTTCATTATTCTTCTGTACTTACCCCAAATGTCAATTTGCATAACCCCTATTGAGGTATTAAATAATAGAAGTAAATGTTAACTTTATGCAAATCTTATAAACATCCAGACTTATAAGCAAAAGCAGGTGACGATCATATATACTTTACAAAGGGATTAGTCATGGGATGCCTTTAAATAAGGCTCATGTAACATAAACATACTGAAAACTAATGACAACTCGCTAATCACTTTTTAGAAACCCATTCAACATTCAGAGCAAGAATTATGAACACATTAAAAAGATTTCTCCCATCAGGAATGTAAGGACTGTTTACCTTGTGACAAGGAACCAAGCAATTTTACTGAAGTCTGGAGAAGGCCTCATATATGTCTTAATATGTGGCATGGCATTGCTGCGGCCAGAAGTCTCAGCTGACCATTTGCTAGTGACAGAAAAGACACAAGTCACTAATTACAAAATAAAACAAACTGATCTTAATCCTAATATTAGGAAACTGCATGAAAAGAAAAAGCCTATTATCTAAAAATCAACAGTGGCTACACGACTCTGTGACCTGTGATATTTTATGCAACTGCATTCAAATAATGCATGCCCATTTTAGAATTATAAACTTCCCACTTCTCACAAGAACTGTAACCTTTCAGCATATAGCCTTTCCATTTTTGCCATGAACACACACATACATGCATACATATTATTTCTGTTGTGCTTTTTTTTTTTTTTTTTTTTTTTTTTAAGAGACGGAGTCTCGCTTTGTCGCCCAGGCTGGAGTGCAGTGGTGCAATCTCGGCTCACTGCAAGCTCCGCCTCCCAGGTTCATGCCATTCTCCTGCCTCAGCCTCCCGAGTAGCTGGGACTACAGGTGCCCGCCACCACACCTAGCTAAGTTTTTGTATTTTTAATGGAGACAGGGTTTCACCATGTTGGCCAGAATGGTCTCGATCTCCTGACCTCGTGATCTGTCCACCTCGGCCTCCCAAAGTGCTGGGATTACAGGCGTGAGCTACGGCACCTGGCCCTTCTGTTGTGCTTTTCACAGCATGTGTGCATATGTCTCTTGCCTGAACTGTGAGCTCCTTAAAGGGAAGAATCATGCTCCCATGGAGTGTTATGATAGAGGCTCAGCAAAAGCTTGTTGAATGAAACAAAATACAAAAAAGACAAAATACAAACAGTATATGAAAAAAATGAATGCTGAAAAGCGAGGGCAGAAACACTTTAGTCAAATGCTGACATTCACAAATCTGAGTTTGGTTTCTAAGTTTCCAATACTGTAGACTAGGGTTCTATGGGAACCTATATAATGAAGCAACAATCCTTACTTATAGGAGGATGGTCCCCCCAGATTAACAGATCGTCTGTGAAAACAGAATCAGGCTTAGGTAGGTACCATCACTGTCTTCATTCAAGTGAATTTAATAATATAATACTGAAAGGAGTTCAATATAAAGAAATGTCTTCTATAAGGAAAAACCTCTCAAGAAAGCATTAAAGAAAAGCTCCAGGATAACACACTGAATTACAGCTGAAAGCTATAATTCAAAGTAATTCTACTTTCATTTCTGGCTAACCAGCACAGCAAACACCTGTTGAGGCAAGCATGAAACAGACTGGCCTTGCATATGCAGGCTGTGCAACTGCTGTGGCTGGAGAAGGATGAAGCACATTCCCTTCACTTGTCCACTCAGCATTTACTGAACTCTGACAACATGCCAGATACTATCCTGTATCCTCAGGAAACAGCAGCATAGAATCTGCCCTCACCAAGCTTGCAGCTGCACATATGATGGTACAAACAGAATAATGATACTTTATATTTTGGAAAAATGAACTAAAATACTGCTTATGTAAATTCTAAACTACCCAGCATGATCTTTTATTTATCTTTCTTGGCATGCCAATATTTAAATAGAAACCTCACAGCAATAAATTTTCCTCTTTGGTATTAAGGACCTATTCCAAAAAAAAATTCAAAACCTTGTTTTAAATTATTTCTATCACTAACATATGTAGATGAAAGAATATAGCTATATTACATAAAGTTCCTTTTTAAAAAAAACAAACCAGTGACATAAATAACATTCTAATTCCTAAAGAAGCAATAGCAGCAGTCTAAACCAATTACTTACTGAAAATAGGAATGCAGCCAATTCTGTTTTTCAGCTGTCTGGATGCTATAGGGAAGAGAGCCCCCAGCTTTTAAAAGAAAAATAAAACAATAAAAATTATGAAATATAATTTGAGGAGCCCTCATTAAGAGGAAAATCTATAATAAACAGCAAGAAGGTAACAGGAAAAAAACTACTTCTATTACTTCATCTTACAGAGCAGTTATTTGAAAGAATATCTCTATACTTGCATTAGATATGTTCTCTTAATGAGGTTTCCTTCCTTCAGTATTAACTTTATACAAATCTTATAAACATCCAGACTCATAAGCAAAAGTAAGTGATGATCATATACTTTACGAAGTATAGTCATGGGATGCCTTTAAATAAGGCTCATGTAACACAAACATAGCGAAAACTAATGACAACTTGCTAATCACTTTTTAGAAACCCATTCAACATTCAGAGCAGGAATTATGAACACATTAAAAAGATTTCTCCCATCAGGAATGTAAGGACTATTTACAATTCGTCTCCTGTGTCGAGAATAAAAGTAAATTACCTCATTGAGGACGAGAACTCACCAAGTAAAGCGGAACAGAGCTTTTTCCTGCAAAAGCTTCAACTGCAAATAACTAAAACCATTCAGTTTCAAAGCTTCAACTGCAAATAACTAAAACCATTCAGTTTCAAAGCCAGTTATAAAACAGCTTTGTTAAAAATACCACGTTTTTCCCCATTAAAAGTACACTTTGAAAAGAAAAAATTATAATTGAATTACTTGGTGATAGTAATTTAACATCTATAACTGCATAGATCTGAGGTGTTAGAATCCTGGCCCATCTTACTCTCCTTATGCAAATAAGACACAGCTGGACAGCCTCTGTTTTTGCCCAAGACCGTGACACTTGGGGAGGAAATCTAGGACGAGATGTCAGTTCTCCTTCTACTTCACCTTTACACACTATTTCCAAACAGACTTTGTACTGGCTGAACAGATTCTGACAAACAGAAAAGATGGCTAAAAAACAAAACATTCAGTAAACAGTTCAGTTTGAAAAAAGGAATTCTAAAAGCCTTATTCTTGCAAAGAGAATAAAGAAAGTTCCAAGTGGAAATACAATTAGAAGTCAATGCTTGCTCATTTTTGAAACGAAGAAAACTCCACAGTGGATTCATCAGTGACTTTCCAAACACATGCTGGAACTTCTCCACACTGATCTATACCCAAAGAGATCTATATCCAAACATCTCTGACATATCAAATAGGGCATGTCCTGTCTTCAACTTCAAATAACTAAAAACATTCCGTTTCAAAGCCAGTTATAAAACAGCTTTGTTAAAAATACCATGTTGTTCCCCATTAAACATACACTTTGAATGAATCTAGCCTATTAGAGGCGCAAAAAGAGGACCAAAGAAAAACCACCACTGTATCCCTGGGTCTCAGTGAAGTAATTTTGGTTTTTCCATTAAAAAGCAAAAAAATGGGCAAATACACTCCAAACTCTAGCGAGATTTTTCTGGCAGATTTTTCTTATTGAGCCTGATAAGCAATAAATGGACTAATTCAGCACATTCTGCTCTAGCCATCAGCAAATGCCAATGCCAATTAGACTTTGCTTTTTCCAGAGACAGCCAGTATTTGGGTTTTCGGTTAACACCCCCTGATTACACTAACTAGGGGGCTGCTGAATTCCGAATAAAGGTTTAGTGCCTGATATGAGTATAAGGGAAATGGACAAGGTTGACGGATGCCTACAAAAAATCTTAGGCATTTGCAGATGAAGCCCTTGACAGAATAGACACATCAACAATGTTACACCAAAGGCAAAATTTTAAAAATTCCAGACCTTAAATATATCTGTATCAGGCATTTAAAAGGACCACATGGTACCTCAAACACAGGAAGGGAGGATGTGGAAAGAGATGAGAGGAAGGTATGCTGGATAAGCTCTGAAAAGGCACTGAAGAGTAAGGGGAAGTTGACTTTATTTGGCTATCTTGTCTGGACAACTAACCTGCTGGTTACCTTACCAGTAAAAATGAAAACCGTTGTGCAGAGGGTTTCTGTGAGGATTAATAACACACCCAAACTGAGGGGTATCATCTGCAGAACGTAGAGCTTGATATTGCCTATTTTCATGATCCTTATATAGTTAAGTGAAAACCATCTCCAAATTTCTAACCAATACTGGTAAAATTTTACCAGGACATTCATGAAATATACATAAAACACAACTGACACAGTCTCCCCAAGAATTACCAGGATATCCTTCTAAACTGGTCCGCACATTTTCCACAGAAGGATAGATCTAAAAATAAAAGAAAAACAATAAAACTCAGAATGTACCATGTTGAAGAAAAAGAATGATAATCAGCTATTAAGAAAATGAAAATCTGTTACAAATACTTTTAAATTAGAGAATATACTTTAAATTTTTAAAAGTTCTCATCTTACAAAAAAATGAATTAGTAATTAAACAAGAACCATATTTGATGTAAAATTATACTTCAATTTGAATATTTTTTCCTTTGAAATTCAAGTTAACATTGAATGGAAAATTAACTATTAATTCACAGGTCTCTAAATAATTAAAATGCCCCTAATTCTGCTGGCTATGCTACATCAAATATTTTCTTCCTTGGTGCAGCAACCTGAAAGAAAGGATAGAAAAATCACAGGCCAGTCTGTGTTTGCAATGGAGCTCCTGAACAAATCGGCAAGCTCTTAGCACTAGATATTAAGGCAACTTGATTACAAATGACGATGCTAATGTACTGCTCTTTCCGTACCCCGCCCCCTCCCACGCCAAAAAAAAAAAAAAAAAAAAAAAAAAAAAACAAAGAATAAAACATCTCTCCATTATAAACAGGACCAATTTTCAATTCTTCTCCTGTGTAGAGAATAAAAGTAAATGACCTCAATGAGAACGAGAACTCACCAAGTAAAGAGGAACAGAGCTTTTTCCTGGAGTCTTGCTTTCCTTCCCCAGTGTCAGCATGCTCTCTTTAAACTCAGAACATAACCACTTTGATTCATCAGCTCCCAAGGAGCCAATGCTTGAAAACTGACCCACGACAGGCCAGGACTCTGCGTTAGGTATGGATGAGGCATGGTCTTTCAGAAGCTGGGAAAGAATAAAAATGAATGTTAACGTGACTCAAATAATCTTAACAGAAAGGCTGTAATACCTGAAAACAGTTTTCTGCTCTTGGAATGCCTAATTAACAAGAAAAGCTGAAAATACTAATGATCAATTTCATACCCACACATATACATTTTTTCTTTGGGAAATTTTTTTTAAATACTAAAAACATATTTTTAATGGAGTAGATGGACAGAAGTTCTCCTTTCCAAAATTCTTTGATTTGTGCTAAAAGCAAAAACAGATTTAAAAAGTTTAAAAAGGCCCATTTCAGTAGAAATTTCAGATAAACCAACTTGTCATATGAAATTAGATTTTTTACTTGAAATCACAATTGTTTAATGCACTTTTGATACTATGAAATATGTATTTGGTCTTCATCCCTGTTTCCTGGCATGCAACTACTAAAATCCTTGGGATTTCCTATGTGATGTCTTTCTGTATATTAATGAGACTGATGGCAGGCAGACCCTAGGTAACTTCAGGATGGGGGCTGGTCACAATAAAGACCAAGGCATGACTAGAAGACTGGGACTTTTGGCACAACCCCCCAACCTCCAGGGATAGGAGGGGCTAAAGGTTGAGCTGATCACCAATGGCCAGTGATGTAATCAACCATGCCTATGTAATGAAGCCTCCATTAAAAACCCAAAAGGACAGGGTTTAGGGAGCTTTCTGACAGCTGAACACCTGCAGGCTGCTGGACAGTGGTGGTGCACCCAGAGAGGGCATGAAAGCTCTGTGCCCCTTCCCTATACCTTGCTCTATGCATCTCTTCATCTGTATCCTTTATAATAAGCCAGTAAACATTACGTGTTTCCCCGAGTTCAGTGAGCTGCTCTAGCAAATTAATCAAACCCAAAGAGAGGATCACGGGAACCTCAACTTGAAGCTGGTCAGTCAGAAGTTCTGGAGGCCCAGACTTGCAACTGGTGTCTGAGGGAGAGGGACAGTCTTGTGGGACGGAGCCCTTAATCTATGGGATCTGAGGCTACCCCCATATTTCTTTAAAAAAAAAAACAACGTATTTTTTCAATTATTTTTTTCCCTACTTTTCTCTTTTCACTGTTCCCCCCAACTCCTTCCCTACTTACTACTTAGCCCTTTAGAAATGCAATTATAACCTTTTGCTTTTCCTTTAGCAGCCACTCCCTACAGGGCAAGTTCATCTAACTTTGTGCTTAGCTCCAGAGCAGAACTTTCTCCCACCAGGGCACTGCCTTGAGGGACAGCAGTAAATTTACAACCCAAAGTATGCCCACTAAGAAACTCTCCCACCTTGAGAGTTTCGGCCATCTTTACAACCTCGTTCTGCCCAGGAAGAGACCAAATGGACTGCCTGGTAGAGAAGGCAGAACGTAAGCAAGTATCCACCTGCTTGCTTCCTCCTCTGTGTGCCATTCATGCTAGGCCCCCTTTTAAAACTGTCCACTTTCTGCGCCAAGAGCAAAGCAGTACCCTTAAGACAGGAAGCCTGTACTTATTCCTCTAAGCCAGCTTTGGAATAAAAAGTCACTTTCTTTATACCATCACTTTCTTTAAAGTGACTTTCTTTATACATCTCCAGGAAGACAGCTAAGAATTGAAGTGAACTAGAGGACACCCAGCTGGTGTCCCCTGCTTTGTGTATGAGGAAAACCCCACACATATTTGGTCACAGTTTTCTGTGTTGACTGTTGTAGTGCGACAGCAGAGGAAACAAAGTGAGTTTTTTGCTACTGACATTTAAACCATACCTAGAAGGATTACATATTTTGACTCCTATCATTTGAAAGAGGTTTAACATTCATAGTTTAACACTTGAGCTCCAGGCAGCTGTGATGGTCTAAACATAAAAGAGAATATTTACATACACATACCAGCTAAAACACTGCAGAAGACTGATCTGCATTTCCTGCTTTGGTAATTATGCAAAGCTGCAGAAACAATTCAGAAAATATTTGGAAACCTTATCCACTTAAATATGTGCTGAATGCCTACCTAGAGGGCTGGAGAGAGCAGAAAAATAAACTGTAGCTCATATTCTGACTGATGTGTTGTTTAATATGTATTATTTTCCTTAACACAGCTTAGGCATTAATACTTACACATACACTTCCCAAAAAGCCCAAAGTTTCCATGTCCACCTTGGGTACAGCATGGTGTAGGGAACAGAGCTGAACCGACAACTTACAACACCCAGTTTCTATTGCAATGCTCAGCCCCTGAAGGGCCACCCTATCCTGGACAAGTCTTGGGCTTAGATTTACACTTCAGTGGAAACAGGCACCTAATCACCAGCTTGCCTTCCTGGAAGAAAGCTGTGGCGCAATATAAGCAACTGCGCGTAAAAAGTGGTTTGAAAACTCTTTAACATATAGTTGAACTTTCAGTATCAGATGGTGATCACACACAATACATGCTATTATCTAGCCTATCCAAACCATTAGACATTAGGCCACAAACAACCGTGTATGTGCACTGAAGACTTACCATGTACCCTGTACTGTTTTATATTCATCATTTCATTTAACCCTCATAATCACCAGCGGAAAGTACTATTATTATGTCCACTTCATAGATGACAAGTGATGTATGTTAAGGAACAAGTCAAGGTCACATGGCTTGTAGATAACAAAGCAGGGTTTGAACCCAGCTACGGATACCTGCCTCCAAGGCTGGGCACAGGCCAATGTGCTCAACTTCCTCTCTAGGCCAAGACATAAAAGATGTCTTCACAAGATCCTGCCTGCTTTAAGTTGTGATCTCATTTCACAAAAGGAAATTAAAATAAAAAGTTTCATTAACCAAGGGAAAATTCTTACATTTTAAATAGTTTACAGAATAAGAGGTTAAGGCTTTAAAGAAAGCCACTTTAGGAAACTTATTTATTTTTTTGAGACGGAGTCTCGCTGTGTCACCCAGGCTGGAGTGCAATGGTGCAGTCTCAGCTCACTGCAATCTCCGCCTCCTGGGTTCAAGTGATTCTCCTGCCTCGGCCTCCCGAGTAGCTGGGATTACAGGTGCTCGCCACCATGCCCGGCTAATTTTTGTATTTTTAGTGGAGACGGGGTTTCACCATGTTGGCCAGGCTGGTCTTAAACTCCTGATGGGCTGTGATCTGCCTGTCTCAGCCTCCCAAAATGCTGGGATTACAGACATGAGCCACCACGCCTGGCCAGGGAATTTATTAAGGTCAGTAAACCACCTAAAAAGAGATGAAAAAAACTTTAATCTTCAACTTATTTTATTTTATGACCTTTCTTTGTGTATTTTCATATCAGCAGCAAGTATTATTTTTGTAATTAGTTTTATTAAGGGCACTGGTTTAATAATCAAAATATAGCTCAGTTGTAGTCTTTACTCAACATTTTCTGTTTGTTGAATTTATATCTTAAAACTTGATATGCTGAATAATCAAAAGCTATAATATGTGTATGAATAGGAAGCCTCTATCTTTATTACAAATAAAAACTAGAGTATATTTATGCCATTAATAGCCTATAGCTATAAAAGAGGCAAAACACATTAAAAAGCAGTAATTACTAAGAACTATAATTATCAATTTATCAAGTACCTATTTGCCCAGAATTGTGCAGAAATATTGTGAAGCTGCATCAAAATATAAAATTATTTTAAAAGAAAGAATATACATTAAAATTTTAAAAAATGTTAAAATAGTAAAAGTTCTGTTACCTTCCTAAGTCTAAAATGTCCCCAATTATCTTTTTGACTTCCTTGAAAGCGTCCTGGGGTTGAACCAATAAGATAAACACTAAAAGACATAAAAACACAAGTTATAAAACATAGTGATGTGCTTTGGGCACCAAAAAAAAAAAAAAAAAAAGACAAAATACACATGAAAACTAATATAATCAAGAAATGATCCAGGAGCCAACCCATTTTCTTGAATTGACTCTCAAATTCATTTTTCAAGCAAATCCACTAATGATGGAACACCTACAAGATGTAAAGTATCAGACAAAGAACTCAATAATTGTGAGAGTACCCCAGTGGGAGGCTAAGGTAAACATGAAGATTCACTGGCTGTCACTTTCATGCCTGAGAACCACGAGATACAGATGTGATAGAATCTGTTCATCCCTCATCACGTCCTGAAGCTTGGCTAGATTTCACCCCATCTCTTTCCAGGCCCCTGCATTCCAGACCTCATGAGGCTCGCAAGGTATGAACCTATCATAAGCACCCCAAATTGGTAAGTTGGCACATACTTCGTTTCGGAGAGATCGTGCTCGTGGATGGTATCTATCCACTCCTTGAGAGAAGGGGCATTATAAGCCATCAAGTAACTGATGAGATCAGCTTTAAAATGTGTTGTCGACTCTCCAGATTTGTGGGTTCCATCAACAATTCGTGGGTATAAGGGGCTCAACCATATTCTGGAATTTAAAAAAATAACCTTTAACAGTCAGGCACACAACTGAACAGTGATCTCTGTATCGATTACGCCTTCATTCTAAGAAAGAGGTGAATTCTTGGTGTCTCCACATGGTAAGTAATTTTAGGAAACACGAAACATAAATGTGAGCACACTACTCCAATGGCTTCCCATCACATTCAGAATTATTCCTGAATGCCTTGCCATGAATTTAAGATTCAGTAAGACCTGGGCTCTGCCCACTTCTTCCAACCCACATCCCTCCACGCTCCCTCTCACTCGCCAAACCTTCCTTATTCCTCCTATTACCTCTGCACCTATATATTGCTTTCTAAGACTTGATGGTAAGAATTAAGAATTCTACTCTTAACAGTTAGAGCAAATTCATGCTACTAGTGGTAATCCCAGCAAGAATTTGCCCTTGTCTGCACCAATGCAGCTCTTCAGCCAAATGTGAAATAAGAATTGTGTTATCTATACCAAAAGTGTATGTGAAAAATCTATTTTCAATCAACAAACCCATTTTCATAATGTAGGTGCTATAGCAGCATATTTTTATGTCTTATACTTTCTGGTGCCTGGATTATCACATTCAGTGACATTACAATAACCTCAAACTTTCAAACACTTAATTCACTGAAGAAGCATAATAGACATCTTTCATTAATTCTTTTTCCCCAGAGGAAAACAGTGCTCTTTGCCAAAACTTCTACATTATATCCGTAAATAGAAAACAACCATATCTAATCCCAATCCTTCTATAAACTGCTTCACAGTAGATTACTAAAATGGCTTCAAACCTTTTGTGCTTCAGTTTCTTCAAATGCAAAAAAGTGGGGTTAACAGGGCTGCCTCACTGGGCTGCTGCAAAGCAATGACTTACAGGACCAGTCAAAAGTATCAGGTGTTACATTTTTCCCCTTCTGTGGCTACTCCCCTTTTCCCCACCCTGGGTTCTATCTATTAAGCTGAAAGAGAAACTGTCTAATTTCTCTTTCGCCTGGCAGCCCCTGAAGGAGACTGGCAAGATGCAGGCCAACAGGGCAGAAGTCATCCAGAACTGCAAAGACTCTTGGCAGCGCATCTTCTGCAAGTTTCTAGCAAGGGGCACTTCATACCCCTGCTTCCCACCCTGGGGAGGCACTTAGCACAGGAGGTAGCATGGTGTGACGAGGGCTGGAGCCCAGGTTCTGGACCCAGATTGGCTAGCTGACTATACCATTTTCGGTAAGCCCTGTGACTTCTCTGGGCCTTTGCCTCCATGTGTAAAATGACCAGGTTGGGCTGGATAGACGTGGAGGATCTCCCCCTTGCAATAGCACCTCAAAGTTTCCAGGCGAGTGAGGCTCCTCCCGGATCAGAGATTCACTCACAGGTGAGTTCAGGATGAGAAAGAAGACAAATGACTTTCTAAACTAAGATGCTGAGATATGAGGCATTTTTAACATGTCACAAAATAAGATGAGAAAATTATTATAATGAGCCAAATAATTTTATTTTTTTTACTGTGAGATTTGAATGCAACTCTTGTTCTAATTTTAAAAGTGAGAAATCAACAGGTGAACCATCAGGCAGCTGAAGGGGATTAGCAGAACCACGGACCAATTATGAAGTGAGATTATACACAAAAACTGCTTTCAAAAGTTTTAAAATTACCCTAAACAACATGAAATGCAAAGTATTAGAGAGTAGAATATAGACCAAGCATGAAATAATAGGATCCCACACGAGGATGGCTGCTAGAGGAAGATTTCACAGTCTTGGTACTTTCTGAGTTTTGAACCGTTCCTACCTAGTCAGTAAGTTTTCTAAAATTTTAAATTAAAAAGTATTTTTTTAAATAAAAGGAACACCCAAGCCCTTACCCCTGCCTCTTCCCTCCTCGCAACCACCCCAGAGAATCCCAAAAAGGTACTACTGCCTGTAAGCTAAGCTTCCAACTTCAGAACGAGCTGGAGGCCCAGGGTGGTATTTTTGGAACCATGTGAGGCTGAGCGCTAACTTGAGAAATCCCTTTAGTAACATTAATTATTGTTTCATGGGAACAAACTACATTAATCTCATTTCCTTTTGTTAGGGCTACATGAATCTCCACACCCAATCTGGCAGCTCAGGAGAGCTGGCTTAGAAGCTGTTGGGGTACCAAAGGCATAGTTAACCATAAATGTAGTAGATCAAGAAAGTGCTACAGCTGAGACTTAGAGACAGAGCAGCTATCCCCTCAACCCTGGACCAGTCAGAGCCACACTTCATTTTGAAAAGCATATTTTAAGTGGGATACTGAAAAACTGTAACGTGTTTATAGAAAAACTACCAGGAATTACGGCTAGGGGGCTCAAAGCCACATGCTATGGTGGGGCAAGGGAGTGGGGAGGGAACAAGAGATGTGAGGCTCAGAGACAAGACTCCCTTTCAAACTCTGAAGGACTGCCTTAAGGGAAAGAGATTACATTTGTCCTGCGCAGCGCACTCAGGTTGAAGCAAGACCTGTTGAAGGAAGCTGGAAAGTTATTTTAGCTCACACTAAGATGTAATTTGGGGCCGGGCACAGTGGTTCACGCCTATAATCTCAGCACTTTGGGAGGCTGAGGCGGGCGGATCGCTTGAGCCCAGAAGTTCGAGACCAGCCTGGGCAACTAGGCAAAACCTTGTCTCTACAAAAAATACAGAAAGTTAGCCAGGTGTGGTGGTGCATGCCTGCAGTCCCCGTTACCCAGAAGGCTGAGGTGGGAGGATCACCTGGGCCCAGGAGGTTGAGGTTGCAGTGAGCCGTGATCATATCACAGCATTCTAACCTGGGTGACAGAGTGAGACCGTCTCAAACAAACAAACAACGATGTAACCTGGGCTCAGCAGAGCTTAGCTAAACGTAATACACTCCAATTAGGAGTTCTAGCCCAAGCTAGGCAATGATATGGGGCAGGGTGAGGCAGAGGAGGATGACAGAGAAAACGTGAACCCAGATATGATGCTAAACAAACATCCGAGTTTCTCCCAACGCAGAAGGCTGTTTGTTAACCAGCTCTTCTCTAGGACAGGAAGAGATGTGCAAAATGGCTTCAATAAAAGAAAATTAAAGTTAGTCATAATCAAGAATAGCTGAACTTGATTTGAGCAAATCCCTAAAAATCCCTTTTAAAAAGCAAACCCCTCTTGAAAAGGGGATCAAAACCTGGATCTAGCATATGTGCACCAAGTACAGAGGGTTAGTAGTTTATAAAGTTCAGAAAAGCTTTCATATTCAATTCTTCTCTTGGAGATTCACAACTTTATTAACACACTAAAGGCTCTAAAAAGACACCAGCTTAAATTTGTTTCAAAGAAAACACACCAACTAGGGGAGTGGGGAAATACTTAGCACACTATTAACATGACCAGGTCCTACCCTAACTTTTCCTTTGATTCATGTTTGGGAAGCGGCAAGCAAAAATACAAGTGGGTACATGAGCAAGGAGAAATCACAAAAGCTATCTGGTAAATCCTACTGGGAAAACAATGGGTTCAGATCTTTCATTCTGTAACCCCCTTTCTGCCTCAGATCATCTGCATGTGCTGTTCCCTCTACTTATCTGTAGAGTGTATACGATGCCACTTCTCTAAAAACTAGGAAGACACTACTGTGTGTAAATAGTAATGTATGTTTACATGTACCATAGAGGTAGCTGTGGATGATGATGCTCCTGTTAACACTGGTTACTCCAAGAAGGGAGAATAGGGCAGGTAGTAAAAGAATACAGTAACTTTTTCTGCATACAACTCCTTTTCTAGGCCATGTGTGTTATTTTTACAATTAAAAAAATAGAAACAAGAATAAAGCGAATGTTCTGGCTTTTGACCTTTCTCAGCACACACACTGCCAGGAAGTGAGCAGGCCCCTACGAACCCTTGAGTTTTCTGGTGCCAGTCAGCATGGATGAGGTTGGAGGTGTGTATGACAACCCGGAGGCCTTCTTCATAGAGCAGCAGCATCATTTTCCTTTAAAAACAGCAAAGGATCAAAAAGCATTAACGGTACTTTCAAAATATGTAATACTTTCCAATGCAAATGTAATATATAACTAAAGGAATTTTTTTAAACTCTCATATTACCCAAACTTAACATTTATAATTTTCCCTTCTATACATTACCATGATGAAAGTCTGCCTGAGTGATAGGTTGAAAATCTTTCAAAAAGGTTGAGTATTTGGTGGTAAAAGAACTTTCACCCCATTCTGTCTACCTGGCCAGTCCTGGCACTTCACATCCCTGCAGCCTAGCCTCTTATTATCTATTCAGCATCACCTGTTACTACTAGGCACCATGGGAACCTTATCGTCTAGTGTCTGAGATTCAAAGCATGGTCAACAACCTCTTGCTGCATCATGGCTGGCATTTTTAAAACAACTAAAATAGCATAAATTGGTATACTGTATATATTTAATTACTGGTTCATGAAATTTTGTTTTGGCACAAAGTTATGTTAGTGCATAATACACTGAAATGTAAAGTATATTTCTTATTATGAGTTGAAATTTTAAGAAGTTTAAAAGATGCTTCATTACCATTAGTGGTTTTTTGTATCCATAGATGCCACACTTGTCAAGTGTGTTATCTGGGCTTGGGGTAAGTCTTGCCTATTCTTCATCAACCCAAATCAGACCTAGTTGGGTCCACTCTTTTTCCATGTGACCTCCCCAGACCTCTAATCGAACACATTTCTCTTATTTTAATTGCAGTGAGAGAGAGGGAATAGAATATAGATAAAAGCTTTCCACATGAAGTCTGAAGACCTGAGCTCCAGACTTTGTCATTTAGAAGCCCTTTGACCCTAGGTAAGCCATTCAATGTCCCTAAGCCTCAGTTTTCCACTTGTATGTCTAAGGATCAACCCCACTTCAGGACTGTTGTGAATGAAATGCAAAAATACATTTTGCTACTAGGCATGGTGTCTCATGGCTGTAATCCCAGCACTTGGGGAGGTTGAGGCTGGCAGATCACCTGAGGTTAGGAGTTTGAGACCAGGGTGGCCAACATGGCGAAACCCCATCTCTACTAAAAATATAAAAATTAGCCAGGTGTGGTGGTGGGCACCTGTAATCACAGCTACTAAGGAGGGAGGCTGAGGCAGGAGAATCACTTGAACCCAGGAGGCGGAGGTTGCAGTGAGCCGAGACTGCACCACTGCACTCCAGCCTGGGTGAAAGAGTGAAACTGTGTCAAAAAAAAAAAAAAAAAAAAAATTTGTTAAATGTGAAACACTCTCACCTGTACATTCCTATTACTCTTTCGGTACACAGCTTTATTTTCTAATCTAATAATGGATGATTTTTATCTCCCTGTTGTTTTCAATAGGATTATTTCAATATTTCAGGAATCTAAGTTCTCTCTCTCCAACTTAAGTGTCACTTTTCACAGCTATAACTCTGTCCTGACTTATTGTATCATTTCTATTGAGGCCAAAATGCTACTTGATACTTACAGATGAAACTCAATTCACACATGGGAAAAAAAAAATGAACCACTGGCTCTCTCCAAATAAACAACACGAATACTATCTGGACAGGATGAAATTATCATAAAAAGATAAGAAAAAGGATATGAGGACAGAAAAGAGAATGAGATATTTAGCTCTTGCCAAAACGAGAAATTAACCCAAGCTGGCAAATAGTAAATTAATGCAAAGCTGGAGAAATGACAGCTGCTGAGCCATCTTCTTTCCATTTGTGAAATGTGCTCCCTGAAATCTGGGCAAATTTACATACACAGTTGCCAAATCAGCAGCTGATTGTAATTAAGAATAAGTCAGTTATGGATTCATGATAGAAGGTTTACAAATATTTCCATTAGTCAAGACATCGATTATTAGGCAAATCACACACTAATGTCAATGAATGCTATCAAACAGAATTATGAACTTGAGGGTAGCCATATTCATCTTTTCATAGACAAAATGGTAGTGTTAATAAGGTCACAATTAAAAATGGATAGGAAAGGGCGAGGAATGAGATCTCCCTTGAAGAATGCTGACCTGCCATATTGTCTGCTAAGCTGTGGGGCAGCAAAAGGGACCCAACCCAAATACGCAGCTATTCCTGCAAAGGGGGAAGAGAACATATGGCAAGCACCTCTCTGCCAGGTGCCATCCTAGAAGCTCTGTCGTACGTTATCACACCAATCTTCACAGCAATCCAGAGAAGGAGTTATTCTCATTCTACAATTGTGTAATCTATGTCTGGACATTTAACAGGGATTATCCAAGGTCACAAACTGGGCCAGCAGAAGAGCTTGTTGGGATCACACATGCAGATGCCAGGGCACTCCTTTCACCACACATGGCTTCACAGGGCTGGTGGCTGCAACGGTGAACACTTCATGCTACTGGTACAGGCGTAGGCAAGGTTGGGGGAGACATGGCCTTGGTGGGAAAGAGGACTGGATGATGCGTGGTGGGGGCCTGGCTATAGATCTTAGTGGAAAGAAGCATGCCTTGCCCATCCTGTGGTCTGCCACTAGCTACTGCCTGGATCTGGATATTTGACATTCAGCTGCTGTGGCTTTCTCTTTCCCCTCTATCGATTCTTAGAGAGCCATAAGAATTAACTCTGCTCCTCTAGAAAGCTCTAGAGGAAACCAAAGAGCTTTCCCATTCTAAAACACTGAGAGACAGACCACAGGATTGCATGGCATCCAACCGAAACTGGACAGAGCAGGGCTTGTGTGCCAAAGTGTATACAGTCTCAAAGACGGCCTCGTTCACTGTTTCTAGCTCTACCCTGTGAGGTGGGGAATGCAGTTTATACTCCATCACTATGATCTGGAAGGTGATTCTCCTTTTCTAATTCACGTTTGTCTTGTTTCTCTTACCAAAGAAAAAGCCATAAGAATAAAAACTCTATATTCTCTTGAGCTGTGTCAAGAACATAATAAGTATTTAATTCTTAAAACATTTTAAAAATAGGCTAGGCGCGGTGGCTCACGCCTGTAATCCCGGCACCTTGGGAGGCCGAGGTGGATCACCTGAGGTCAAGAGTTCGAGACCAGCCTGGCCAACATGGTGAAACCCCATCTCTACTAAAAATACAAAAATTAGCTGGACGTAGTGGCACGCGCCTGTAGTCCCAGCAACTCGGAGGCTGAGGCAGAAGAATTGCTAGAACCTAGGAGGCGGAGGTTGTAGTGAGCCGAGATTGCGCCATTGTACTCTAGCCTGGGCAACAGAGCGAGACTGCCTCAAAAAAAAAAATTTTTTTTTAAATAAGCAACTAGAAGTAATTTCAAAACACAAGCTCAATCTTCTACAAAATACTGTCATTTCAACAAAATGTAAACTACAGATACTTAATTGGGAAAAGTTCAATTGTAATTACTTTCCAACGGCATTTTTTGTTTGTTTTTGAGACAGGGTCTCACTCTGTCGCCCAGACTGGAGTGCACTGGCATGATCTTGGCTCACCACAACCTTGGCCTTGCAGGCTCAAGTGATTCTCCTGCCTCAGCCTCCTGTGTAGCTTGGATTATAGGCACGTCCCACTACTGCCCAGCTAATTTTTGTATTTTAAGTAGAGATGGGGTTTCACCATGTTGGCCAGATTGGTCTCAAACTCCTGATCTCAAATAATCCACCTGCCTTGGCCTCCCAAAGTGCTGGGATTATAGGCATGAGCCACAGCGCCCAGCCTCCTAGGCATTTTAAACTCTGAATTAAGAGCTCTGGGCCAGGCATGGTAGTTCACACCTGTAATCCCAACACTTTGGGAGGCAGAGGACGGTGGATCACCTGAGGTCAGGAGTTTGAGACCAGCCTGGCCAACATGGTGAAACCCAGTCTCTAATAAAAATAGAAAAGTTAGCCAGGTGTGGTGGAAGTGGCCTGTAACCCCAGCTACTTGGGAGGCTGAGGCAGGAGAATCATTTGAACCCAGGAGGTGGAGGTTGCAGTGAGCCGAAATTGTGCCACTGCACTCCAGGCTGGGCAACATAGTGAGACTCTGTCTCAAAAAAAAAAAAAAAAAAAAAAAAAAAAGAGCTCTGTCGAGTTTAACCTGCAAAATATGTATGTAGGGGCAAGGGGGTGGTAGTGAATGGACCAAAGGAAACAATAAGGTAAAGTTTAGCAATGAGCAAACAAGAACAAATTTAAAGCTAAAGTTAATGCCAGCACAGGGGCTCATGCCTGTAATCCCAGCACTTTGAGAGGCTAAGGCAGGAGGTCTGTTTGAGCCCAGGAGTTCAAGATCAGCCTAGGTCACAAAGTGAGACCCCTGTCTCTACAAAAAAATTAGCCGGGCATGATGGCGTGTGCCTATTGTCCCAGCTACTCGGGAGGCTGAGGTAGGAGGATTGCTTAAGCCCGGGAGTTGGAGGCTGCAGTGAGCTGTGATCATGCCACTGCACTCCAGTTTGGGCAACAGAGTGAAACCACGTCTTGAAAAATTATACACACACACACACGTATACACATACATACACACACACACATATATATATAAATTAAAGTTAGAATAAATAGGTTCTATTCCTGTCTCCACTACTGGCCCAAGGAAGAATCACATACCTAAATCTGGGCCTCAGTTTCCTGATCTATAAAATTAAAAGGACAGATCAAATAATTTTTATAAGAGCATTAAATAAAAGAATAGCTCTCCCAGGCTCAGTTAAGCATCACTGTGCTAGATCCTAGGTGGGCCTACCATGCTCAGTCTTTCCTAAGAATAACCATGTAATGGACAAATGACAATGCTTGAGGGGTTCCCCCATTTCATAAAAATTGCTTACGTGTGGTGTGTTCCAAATGCAATATCCAACTTTGCCTAGGATGAAAAAGAAGTCATTTATTTAAAAACAACTCACTAATATCCATATCTACTGGAAATTACACTAGAAAGCAATCAGGCCAACTTTTTTTTTTTTTAAACTATTTCTACTGACCTCTACTGGATAAGCCCTTGAATAACAAGACAGCTTTTATAATAGCATCTGGGGACGCTCATTAAAACAAACAAACAAACAAACAAGACATAAATTTTGTTACCCAGAATGATTCAATATACACTACATTTTTAATTACAGTAATTAGGACTGAGAAGCCTAATTTCTGTAGTTGACAAAAAACTAGTAAAACAAGTGAGACTCTATGCAAAGTTTTAGATATTTGGCTTATACAGAAATTAATGGTACACAGTTTTCAGAAGATATTTAAAAGAAACACTGAAGGCCGGGCGCGGTGGCTCATGCCTGTAATCCCAGCACTCTGGGAGGCCAAGGTGGGCGCATCACGAGGTCAGGAGATTGAGACCATCCTGGCTAAAGCAGTGAAACCCCGTCTCTACTAAAAATACAAAAAAATTAGCCGGGCGTGGTGGCAGGCGCCTGTAGTCCCAGCTACTCAGGAGGCTGAGGCAGGTGAATGCTGCTCCCGGAGGTGGAGCTTGCAGTGAGCTGAGATCGTGCCACTGCACTCCAGCCTGGGTGACAGAGCGAGACTCTGTCTCCAAAAAAAAAAACACTGAAAGTGGTGGCAACATAAAGACTTAGGATGTCAAATTAAAATAGAAATGTTCTTATATTAGCATAGCAAGTGCTGAAAATAAAAACATATGAAATCCATTTTCATGTTATAAAATGACACCTTTACAAACTAATGGAGGGTATATATATAGAAAACATTTTATCTAATACCCACTAATGCCAGATCTTGGTTAAGCAGAATATGTCACAAGATGCAGGTTATGAGAGTTTAAATAACCGTAAAAGTTTCACAATTAGGAACACAGTACATGGGCTTAAATCCTGCCTTCACAACTTTGTACGATCCTGGAAAATACATCTAACTCTATGCCTCAGCTTTCTCCTCTTTAAAACGGTATGATTCTGAGATCCAGAGTTGTGAGGAATGAGCTCACACGTGTAAAATGCTGAGGAACGGGGTCCTGCATGCAGTAGGCACTCTACAATCGTAGCAATCACTACTGCAACCTCTCCCCACTACCTACCCCGGCCTCCTTACCACATGATGTGGGTGAAACTTTGCTGGGGGCAGTAACGGGCAACTGGAATACACAAGTGAGTTACAACACAGTCCCCGTTTGGAGTGGAGATGCTCACAGACCAGCATGCATCTGTGCACTCCGGCCACAGAAGAAAGTGCAGGGAACTCTATTTCATGTCTTCAAAATTACCAAATGAGAAGGAAGACTGCCACTCTATAAAATGATATTTAGCTGAGAAAGAACAATGGTGAAGAGACCTGGCTTTTGTTTAGTTTGCTACAAGTTACATGCTTCTGGGTAAGTCTAAGCACAAAAAACAAGGATAATAGCTTCAACAGATATTGTTTACTGGGTGCTGTTTTTGGGCTAGTCCATCAAGTCCTTTAGTAAACTCTAGGATGAACAGCATTAGCAATCAATTTCAAAGATAAAGAAATTAGGTGACAAGCCAGTGACAAGCCCAGAATAAGCGTTGCAGACTAAACACTTGCGTCCCCCACCAAATTCATATGTTGAAGCCCCAACTTCCAATGTGACTATTTGGAGAGAGGGACTTTATGGAGGTAATTAAGGTTAAATGAGGTCATAAGGGTGGGATCCTGATGATCCTGATCCAACAGGACTGGTATCCTTATAAAAGAGCTGCCAGACAGCCTGTGTATCTGCCTTCTTCCCTCTCTCTCATGAAGACACCGTGAGAATGTGGCCATCTGTAAGCCGGCAAGAGAGCCCTCACCTGGAACTGAACTGACTGGCACCTTGATCCTGGATTCCCACCTTCCAGAACTGTGAGAAACAAGTGCCTGTTGTTTCAGCGACCCAAGTCCAAGAAAAGTCACCCAGGTAATTTCGTTATAGCATCCAAGCACACTAATACACACATACACAGAGCTGGGACTGAGTCCAGGCAATATGACTCTGACCACCACAAGGTCTCAATGTCTGCCCTTAGGTAGACAAAATGGGAGAGTGTCAGCAGCCACCGACTAATGTGTCTCAGTTTAAATGACCCATGTCGCTAGAAAAATACTTTATCTTACAGACAAGGTACAAAGGTGTTTCAAGACATCAGGAGAAGGACACAATCCTGTACGTCAGCCTAGAGTTGGGAGCTTCTTCACAGCTCTTTCCAAGAGGTTTGGAAGAAGCGGCTCACTATGCCCTCTGGTGGCCAGCCTGGAGCACACTATCAAGCACAGGAACCACTCTCCTAAACGAGTACAGGTAGGTAATATTTGAAAAAGACTTTATTTCCATTCATTTAGTCACTGGTTTTCAGAATTTCTGTGTCAGTTTACTTTCTGCCCACTATAAGGTTTGATGGGAGCTATCCTACTGCCGTCTAACCTCTTATGTTGCTGGAAATAGAAGCAAAACAATGGAATTTTGGCAACTGCTAGGCAAAGGCACATCTATGGGCATGAGATGAGCCCATGCTGGATAGAAGGCATTTTAAAATGACAGCTCTATAAAGTGCAGTGGGTTAAATCATAAGGAAAATGTTGTGAGGTATGTTTAAAACTGACAAGATTGAGCTCTTGTACTGTATTAATCTTAAAAAAATACAAAGATATCACATATAGTTGGAAAAAGAGTGATACAGTGTGAGTTGGAATTCTTACATCTTTGTGGATGGGGAAAAAAGACACTAGAAGGAAAATGAGAAAAAAAAAATCCAAAAAGTATGTAATTCACTCTGTCTCTACTCACAGAGCAGAAATCTTTTGCCAATTTCACTAAGCTAACGATAAGGAAAGAAAAGGGCTATAAAAAGCATCTTTCGTGTTTTCTCATAACGAACTAATACAGCCAAAAGAAACAGGAAAAGGTGACTATCACACCAGCTACTTCATAACCACCATTTCTATAGAAAGTAGTTTTCATAAATGTGAGAAATTCTTCTGTATTCCTTGTTTTCCTTTCTACTTTGGATGTTTCTTGCTCAAAATGCCATGTGTAATAGAAGATCTTTGTGGATGATGAGTCTAAAGAAATGGGTCCTAATGAAAGTCCAAGACTCACTAGCCACGCTGTATGCTAACTGCAAAGTATTAGGACAAAATTATGGGACTATATAAAGAAACTGGGCAATAACTGTTTTTTGGCCTTTGATATGGTTTGGGTCTGTGTCCCCACCCAAATCCCATCTCAAATTATAATCCCCAATGTTGGAGGAGGGGCCTGGTAGGAGGTGATTGGATCATGGGGGTGGACTTCCTTCTTGCTATTCTTGTGATAGTGAGTGAGTTCTCGTGATATCTGGTTGTTGATAAAAGCGTGTAGCTCTTCCCCGTTTTCTCTTCCCTCTTGCTCCGGCCAAGTAAGATGTGCCGGCTTCCTCTTTATCTTCTGTCACAACTGAAAGTTTCCTGAGGCCTCTTCAGTCATGCTTCATGTACAGCCTGCAGAACCGTGAGCCAATTAAACCCCTCTTCTTTATAAATTACCCAGTCTCAGGTATGTCTTCATAGAGGTGCAAGAACAAACTAATATAGCTTTCTTTTCTGCTTTGCTTTGGTCCTAGCAAACCAAGTGGATACACCTGTTATAAGACCATTTAATGTCTCCATATTGGACTTAGATCATACACAGCATATGACTCACATAGTTTCCTAACAGTTTTTTAAATCTATGGGTTTCTCCTGTTCAGACCTTACATGCAACTGATGTGAAAAAAAAGAACTACGGTTGAAGGACTACCGTTGAAGCGTCAATGGCAGCTAATATAAGTTACATAAGGTGTCACAAAAAACTACAAGTTTTAAGTTGCACTCACAGGATACTCACAAAAAGAAACCCATAGCCACTGAACTGCATCCAGAAGACCTGTTCAGTGTTGGAACTCAGGTTTCGACAGGCATACTGACAAGCTACATGCAACCAGTGGAGCACTAGCAGGTTGCAGGAAGACTCGGAATTCATAGTACACTGAGTAAAACTGAAGAAAGAGAATGTTTGAATCAGAGAGAGAAAACTAAGGGAGACAGGACAGATCACTTTAGATATATGAATCACTGACATGTGTAAGATGAAAGACTTACTTATTTGTGTCACTCCAGAAGGGGAAAATTAAGACCAATGTGTAGAAATTAGGAGGAAGACTTCAGGCCCACAAAAAGAAAAACCTTTCCAACCCTGAGGAGTGCTACGAATGGGATGCTCTATCTCAGGAAGTGTTTAAGCTGAGGCTAGACAAGTATCTATTGATGACTGATGCTGGAGAGAGGATTTCTGCACTAGGTGGGAGGGTGGACTAAATGTCTAAGTTTCCTTCTAACTCAGACTACGCATGCTCTCCAATGGCAGTGAGTGGTTTACCTGGCAGAGAGAGATGTTCTCGTAAGGCTTGGCCTGGGCATGGAGGTGAGCCTTAGCCTCTCGCTTATCACCATGCACAAGCAGGATTGGCTTCTTCCTGAAAAGAGAGCATTAGTATTTAATATACATCATTCATGGCCGGGCACGGTGGCTCACACCTGTAATCCTGGCTCTTTGGGTGGGTGAGGCAGGTGGACTACCTGAGGTCAGGAATTCGAGACGAGCCTGGCCAACACGGTGAAACCCCGTCTCTACTAAAAATACGAAAATTAGACAGGCGTGGTTGTACGTGCCTGTGATCCCAGCTACTCCGGGGCTGATGCACGAGAATCACTTGAACCTGGGAGATGAAGGTTGTAGTGAGCTGAGACTCAGCCACTGCACTCCAGACTAAGTGCCAGAGCAAGACTCTGTCTCAAAAATAAATAAATAAATAAATAAATTTAAAAACACCATTCATGAAGCTGGACTCGCCTCATTAAGGAATGCTAACTTCCTTATCACTCGATATTTGTTTCTGGTCTTTGTAGTGAGTGAAGACAAGGCTAACACAGAGCAGGGATCAGCTAATGTTCATTTACCAGATACCTTTATAATGGGGCTACATGGCCTGATCCTACAGCTCTGTTGTAATACAGAGGGGTAATGACTCAAGAAAGTCCTTGAATAATTATCTTCTTTGGCCGAAAAGGGCACATAAGTAGCTCTGTGTTAAAATATTTAAGTCCAAATAAATTAAAGATATGCAATTATTATTATATAATATAGTGCTTTTTTCTTTTTCTTCTTTTGGACCACACAGTGGATTCATTTCACACCACATCTATATTCACCAAACTCCTCCTGTGTGCTATGTACTGACCCAGGACACAACGGAGAACAGGCCCAGGCCCAGGCCCACAGCATGACGCAGCTTCACTAATGGGTGGTTAGATTTCTATGAAACAGAGCCCAAGCTATGTTGAAAATGCTGTATTTTTGAATTACAAATATAATATAAAAACACTCTTCAAGAATACATTAAAAAGGCTTTTGAGGGGTTCTTGATCTTTCTGATTAATTCAAAGCAAGATAATCCTTAGAAATGAGCATATTTCTACAAGCTCTCCCAATACAACAAAAATTGGATATAAGCAATCAAACAAGATAAACAACTGAGCCACTTCCACATTTATCAATCACACTGCAGAATGATGCTCTACCATTCACAAAGGAACAACAATCAACTAGAGAGAAACATCATAGAAAATGCACTTCCAGTACTAATGCCTCACTACCTCAGGCTCAATAGCTTTATTCTAACATGACAGGTAAAATAAAACTATGAAATATGCACCTGTGATTTTTAGAAATTAGGTAAGAAAAACAGAGAATAACGTAAGAAACACTCGTGCATCTAGTACCCAGAAATAAAAAATGTTAGATCAAGTCATCTTATAAAAAAAAGATTAAATATCACTGATAGAAATTGAAGTCCTCATCAATTCTTTCAAATTCATTGGTTCTACAACTTATTACAAAAAGACGGCACCTGAAGAACAGCATACTGAGGTATAAATCCTTATGATCTGAATTTTTCTACATACAAATTCTGGATGTTACTTAAAACTTACCATTTAGGTCACTCCTCATCCTTCTAAGGCTCGTAATAGCCTTCCCAAGATGCATTTGGCAATAAGGGGATGCAGGGAGAAGAAGGACACTTTTGCCCCTTTAGTTAACTGAGAGTCCAGTGGATACTGTATTAGTGTGCCAGGGCCTCCTCCAAAACAAAGTACCACAAACTGGGAGGCTTAGACAACAGAAATATATTGTCTCACAGGTCTGGAGGCCAGAAGTCCAAGATCAAGGTGCTGGCAGGATTGGTGCCTAAGGTATGAGGCGCATCTGTTCCAAGCTTCTCTCCCAGCTTCTGGGAGAGCTTCTGGGAGCTTGGCTTGTAAATGGCGTTCTGTGTCTTTACATGGTCTTATCTCTGTCTCTCCACCCAAATTTCTCTTTTTATAAGGACGCCAGTCATACTGGATTAGTGTCTCTCCCAATGCCTTCATTTTATCTTGATTACCTTTGTAAAGGCTCTATCTCCAAATAAGATCACATTCTGAGGTACTGGGGCTTGGGATTCCAACAGATCTTTTTTGGGGCGGGAGAATTTAACCCATAACAGATACAACAAAGGAACTGTAGTCTACACTTTGCCAACACTCTAAGGGGATGACAATTTGATTTCAAGGTCTTTAAGAAAAGGGAGGAAGAACAGAAAATGCCAACATGACACCCAAGGATACTACTGCCAGGAGGAGCCAAGACAGAAATTGCTTGTTGCCTCCAGACAGCCATTCTCTCCTCCTTCCCTAACAAAAGGCTAATTCAGGACAAGGTGAGCTAAGCTAAAAGACATTTCTAGCCTCTTTTAGAGCTAGTTAGCATGCAGCTGAGCTCTGCTCAATGAAACAGATGCAGGTGTTGTGTGGGATTTCCACGAAGGCTACTCAGATGGGCATAGCTGGAATGCGGGCCTTTTTGTCCTTTTCCTCCTTTTCCCTTCCTGCTACCTGGAATAGACAAGTAAGCTGGAGCTCTAGCTGCCATACTGGGCCATGAGGTGACTCTGAAGACTGAAGTCGCACACCAGGATGGTGGAACAGAAAGGGTAGGTGGATAAGTTTTTGAGAACCCCAGTGCCCCCATCCAGACCATAAATGTTTACCATTTGAAAGTATCAGGCTGGAAACAATTTCTGTCTTATTTAAGCCACTGTTATTTTGAGTATTCTTTTAGATGCAGCTAAAACTAATTCTGTGTGTGTTACAGGTCAAAAAAAAAAAAGCCCCAAGTGCCAAAGCTGCTTGAAAAATTTTAACAGTATTTTATCTACTGTTAATGTCTAAGGTTTCCACAATCTGATGCCCTAAATGTACCAAGAATTTTGAGGACCCTGACAATCATTTTTTCTTGTGTGTTTTCCTCCATTCTACTTGCTGTTATGGGAATCTGTCCTGTAAATGTGTTAGAAACAGGGAAGGGTGGCACCTCACTGTGTGATGCCCTATTTGGTCTGTATTGCCTAATATGAGGCTGATGAAGTGCAGGCAGAAGGCAGAACTAAAAATCCATCACCTCCTGAGCCTAGATAAGGGAAGGCCATATGTATAGCCTCCTTTCCTCATCTCAGAAACACAAAGGGATCCTCAAAACAGAACAGCATTGATGTGCTACGGAAAGCATGGCACGCTGGCCGCATGTTGGCACATTCACAGATCTACAAGGTATGTGGAGACGGTATTTTCCTTCATATTAAGACTGGACATAAAGTTCTGTTATTTGAGTTAAAGCCTGTCCTTATCTACTTCCTGAAAGAGCACAGAGGAAATGCTAAAATCTGTAAAAAGAATGTGTAGGATGAAATAGATCAAAGAATGCTGTTTTCCCAATGTAATTTAATGTCTGTATGATTTTAATGGTTTCAAAAGAAAAACTCAAAAAAAGATGGGTGGCTTTCACCTGAGAAATACAAATCTTAGGTGTCAAAGCCCCCTTACAGTTTATGGTGTTGTCTGTCACCCTGTGGAACTCACCTGAATTCTGGTGGATACTGTTTTACGAGCCAATCCACGTCAAAGCAGTAGTTAAACTAGATGGGAGAAAAGAAGAGTAACTAAGCCATGGGTAATTCTGCCAAACAGTTCATAAGGATAATTATTTGGTTATTACATTTAAGGAAACTTTAAAATAGTGATACATTACATGTATTATTTATAAACCTGGAGGGTTATGCTGCAATACTAATAAACCTACAATTTATCTTAAATGCATGGTTAAAAGAACCTAAATGGAGCCAAGTACATGAGATAACAGGTTCCCAGGAAATTATCTCTGCATGTGTTGGCAGCATCTGTACTTGTCTGCAGGGTGTTATTACATTATGTCTAATGGCCCTGAGATTAATTTAAATAAAAGGACTTATAAATTTACCCCTTTTCCCCTAGGTGATTATAAAAAGACAGATACTGGAGAAAAAGATCCCAGGACTTTCAGAAAAGAACGTTTCCTTTCAGGCTAACTTATTAGCTAGCTTTGTATACAGCCACCTGGGACCAGACATTCACTAGGCTTCTAACAATTAAATCTTAAATGCAAGTTCTGTACTGGTCTTACCCGTGGAGGCTCCTCCCCACATCTGGGTAATCCTGGACTTAGTAGCTCAATTGAGCTAACAGGGCATTTGCAAATGCTCCCCACCTTCCAAATGGAAACCAAGACTTTTGATGCCAAACCAAACGTAAAGGAAGCTTGGCTTTCTTCAGGGACAGGGCCCTTTGTTTGGACCATTTACTCGCAGGTCTGGAGCATTACATGATTTATCAAGACAAAGGGACCAGCTCAGTCAGGAAGGAGCCACTGAACATGAAAATTCACATTTTTCTAAATCAAACTTAACTTGGCCTTCACTACTCTATCCATACCTCCCCACTCTGCACCAGAGTTAACTCAGTCCCATGAGTTAATCAGTGTCCCACTCTAGTCTTTCAAGCTGGAATGTCCAAAGTGACATCTTGGCCAGTGGAGCCTGACTGAGTCAAATGCTCTCCTGATAGTGACATCCCCATTCTGTTGATGGCCATGGATCCCATTACTGTGGCACTTGAGCCAGCCTCCCGATATGTGCCATCTCGGTCTCTGAACGGGACTGAGACCCCCAAACTGCACCTCTCATATTTTCTTATGGAGTTGTTTAATTACCTGTCTACTTTCACCCAAAGAAAAAACAGTTTAAAGGTATACTTACCTGAGCTGAAGAAACAAGCGTCCCAAATAAAGGAGATAAAATATCTGAGAAGACAAAACATAAATTAAATTCACACTTGCAAAAATCCTCTAGTCGTAATAATCACTACCAACTCATTCAACAGTCACTGACAATCAAGATCTGACTCAGAACACAGTAAGCTAAATACAAAATCTACAAAGTCAGACTGTAATGTTCCATAAAACTAAAAAAAAGTTCCCTATGGTATTTAATATTTATCATATATTCTTTTATAAAACAATGCAAAATTAAAATCTACAACTTCAGTACTGAATGACTGATCAATTTTAGAAACTCAATATGGACAATAATGAAACATATTCTTTTCAGATCTCTGAACTTCTACCTCCTCCAAGTACTCATTCAAGTCCCTCTCTAGGAAACCTCCCAACTCAAGACTAGAAAAACTTTCTAGAAAGATTTTATAAACCTGGACAGTTTAGAAGGACTTTCCAGAAAGACTGGAAAGCAGTTGCGGCCTGTGAACGAAAGGACAGAGGCACCCATAATTCTAAACTCACATTCCTGGTGTTCCTGGTCATCTCTAGGGAAGTCCTACTTTATACCCACTCAAGCTTTACATCAGATAGGTTGGAAAGCTCACTTCTCAAACCACACCACGAGAGAAAGTACACGATCATCATGACCTTCCATTACAACAGCCACACCGGCGGAGACCTGTTAGGTGCCAAGCAGCATTCTTGGCACTTCCCATGTATTACTTACTCCTTATATCCATTTTCTAGATGGAGTCTGTTATTCCTATTTTATAGAGGAGAAGCCTCCTTAGGAGGCTGCCCACACACACACAGCTAGGAAGGGGTAGAGTCGGGTTTTGAACCTAGGCTGTCGGGCTCCAGCACCTTCGCTCAAACCCACTAAACTACCTCTGAGAATTAAGACTGGGCTCATTCATTTGGCAAATATTTACTGAGTGCCTCCTATCTTCTGGACATTGAGCTAGATGCTGGGGTAGAAAGATTTTCAGAGAACAACAAAAAAATCGTAAGGAAGTTTCTACCTTATTGGGAGAGTTGCAGAGATAAACTGCAAATATTCTTCCATTTTGCCCCCACCAGCATGTATTTCTACCCTTCTAAATTTAACCCATCTTCCAAGGGCCTTTTGAAGTCCCCCTTCCTCCATGAGATCTTCTAAACCATCTACAATTATGGCACATGGTAGAGTGCTATAGCAAACAGCATGGATTCTGATGCCAGAATGTCATTACCAGCTCTACGACCTTGGGCACTTTTCTAAACTGCAGATCCATCACTTATCCAAGGAAGACAATTGTAACATCTACTCATAAGACTGTCCTAAGGATTAAAGGAGAAAATATATATAAGAGCTCCATGACATGTTACCACAATATCTTGGCGCTAATAGCCAGTTATTTTATTATATAAAGCAAAACTCGGCAAAATTCTCTAAGTATTTGTCAATCTGTCTCAAACAAACAAAAAACTTGACAAAGTACCAAGATAAGAGATTCTCAAAAAGAAAACAACCTGTAGAACACTCTACAGTATGGAATACTCTAACATGTATACATCACACATAATATACAGTTATATACTGGATATATATATATAAAAAAAAAAACACTAGCGACAGTTAACATTATTATTCTTAAATATGGGACAGGAAAAAAATCTGAAATAAGAGTAATACTGTTTACTGTGTGTATTTGCCATGTGAATATATTATACCGGTCACTTCATGTATTTGCTCCCATTTTTCTGCATTTCCAGTTTAAAGATGAGCAAACTGAAATTCAGAGAACGTTAGGTCCCGTGTTAACAATCCATACGGCAAATGAGTGGCAAGGCTGGAAAGCAGATTCCAGAGCTCCCGCTCTTCCCCCTGCAAATGCTCCCTGAGGAAGAAGGAGAGTAAACTAAGGCCATCTTTTGATCCGTAACTGAAACATCTATTTGTACTCAGGCACTATTTTTTTTCTTCTTCTTCTTCTTCACCAGGAACCAAACCCAGGCTTTTAAGCAGTGGTTCTCAAACCTGAATGGGCAGTAGAATCCCCTGATGGGCTCCTGAAAACACAGCTTCCACGGTCTCACCCTCAGTCTGATTTAATGAATCTGGAATGGAGCCTGAGAATTTGCATTTTAACAAGTTTCAGGTGATGCTGAGGCTGCTGGTCCAGGGCCCATGGAGAACCACTACTGTTGTCAAGTATTTGCTACCTTGTTACTGTTACTCATCAAGCTTAATCTTAAAAAGTTAAATAATGCTAAACATGGTGCTAAGTGATACAAGGGGTTGAGCTACAAGGTTTTGAGAACACAAGCTCTGCCTGAGTTAAGTAAACAGTCTGCTGTCATACTAATGCACTTGCCTATCAAGAATTCTTTTCCTGAAAGTAGTTAAGAACACAAAGAAGAGTTCTCAGAAATCATTCTAGGCTGCCCTCCTTGTTTCATGGAGGAGAGACTCTCAAGGGCAATTCAACAGCTCCTTGACAACCAGCATCCTCTTACCCTTGATGTGGAGGGCTCCGGAGTTATACTTTGGCTTAACTCCGGAGACTCTAGTGAGGTAAAACTGGAAGGGGTTCCCTTTATCCAGCATGTCCCAAATGTCCTGGCCCTCCCCTGACGTCTCATACTCTTCCTCCTCTTTGAGCCTGTGGCAGGTGGGAGGGCCACAATTTTCAGTTCTTTGGGCAGTGCCGTCACTGGGAGCCGAGATGTCTTTCTCCTCTTTGATCACCACTTTCTCAGCCTGCTTCTGCGGCATTTTTGGCTGTAGCTCATCATCACTGCTGGACAGACACCAGCCTAGGTCCTCCTGGGAACCACTTTTCTGCCTTTTGGGAGGTAAAACTGAATCTGTATCGCTGAATTTCACAGGTGACATTTTCCTCTTGTGTGCGGCTTTCCGGGCCTCAGAACAGGTATACCTGGGCTCATTTGCTGCTCCTTGCAGAGAAGAGGTAGACGGCTTGTCTGGTTTTGGCTTTTCTTCCTCACTTTCATCACTACTGGATATGGTCCACCTCCCATAATCGCCTTCCTGAGACATTATACTCCTGGAAATGGAAAGTGGAAACGTCAGCATTTCCCATTCATCAGGGCATTGGCAAAATAACTTCATTGCTCTCAACTTCCCTATCAGATGAGCTGACACCTTCCAAAGGCTGACCACCTACCATCAGCTGCTTTTTGGGTGTTTATAAGCACATTACCAGAATCCACTATCAGATTCTGCCAAATTACAAGCAAAAGTCCTGGTCACCTTTCTTTCTTCTTCCCTTTGTTTTAGTCTCGCTCTGTCACCCAGGCTGGAGTGGTACAATGGTTCAATCTCAGCTGACTGCAACCATTGCCTCCTGGGCTCAAGCAATCCTCCTGCCTCATCCTCTGGAATAGCTGGAACTACAGGTGGACACCACCACGTCTGGCTAATTTTTTTTTCTTTTTTTTTGGTACAGACAGGGTTTCACCATTGTTGCCCAGGCTGACCTTGAACTCCTGGACTCAAGAGATCCACCCACCTCGGCCTTCCAAAGTGCTGGAATTACAAGTATGAGCCACCATGCCCGGCCTTGTCTTTCAATCTAAACTTTGTTCTTAGATGTCCTAGGAAAGGGGGTTGAAGAAGGCATCAAGACAAACTCCAAAATAAAACATTCATTCTTGACCCCGAAGCTTCCAACAAGCATTTGGGGTTAATCTATGTTCAATGCTTAAGGTCAACTTGGAATTTACAAACCTAGCCTTCACCCAAGTACATACACCCACAGGACTTCAGTGATTATGTATGTCTTACTTCCCAAAAGACAACCCATTTACCATAAAGCTTAACAAAGTCTTCAAAAGGAATGCCAAATGACCACTTAGGTATGTACGTTATTTATACTACTTCCATGAGGACCCAACTAACTCAAGAAACAATTATCCTATTGGCCACATCATAAATCTACTAAAACCTGCACAGAAATAACTTATACTGAAGCAACACACTTTTATTTTTTAAGCCACATAGTTAAATTCTACTTTCTTGTTCTGAGAAGAGGAAAGTACACAAAACAGTCACTTTTGGTGTTACCTACAAAATCTCGTCAATTCAATGGTAAAGGACTATCTAAGTCGACTTTCCAGATAGCTAAAGAACAGTTCCTCAAAGTGATACTTTTAACATTTTAGAACAAGACCCAGGGGAAAATTACAAAACTCAATAGTCTGTGCTCAGATTAACAGTATCTTTAAGTTTCTGCCATTTTAAAGAGGCTGAAAAAGATGCATTGACTGGAGTAAACCAAGATGGTGACACTCCCTTCACAAAACCTACATTCCCCCAAAGAGAATTCTACATTATTCTACATCAAAAGATTTGCAAATGAATACATATGCATGTGTCTCTAGATGAGAACTAAAAATAAAAATCTTGGCCAAGGCGACCCCAGAGAAACCTTAAAAACTGAGTTCGGGGCCACGGTGGGATGGGAGCTCAGACATGCCTGTTATATCCCCTCCCTTCTGCGGTTTAAACACAACTGACCAGAGATCATAAGACTGGCAGAATAGATTCTGTGACAATATGACACCAAATCATAAACAAGACCTAGGGCCATGCCAAGCAAGGGTTAATCACACATTGCTACCCTTAAAGAATAAACTATGTTCTACTTGCCACAAGGTTCTTTTTTCTTTAGCAGCTAAACAAGCACTGGCCTGGAGATAAGTAATAGCTAAACAACTGCAGCTCACCTACTGCCAGATGCTTGGCTAACTGATCCCCCTGGTTCCACAGGCCATCACTGCAGCTGTCATTGGACAATGGACCAACTTCAGTAACTTTCTCCTGAAAAGAAACCACAGACTGGTTCTGACCAGTCCTCAGAGGCTGAGCACTGAGTGCCTTCATGTCCCTCCTTCACCTTTTGACATAGAGTGCCTAATTGTAAATCATTCAAATGTTAAGTCTCCATCCCAAAGTGAACATAAGATGCACGAAACACGCACGCTTGCTCATTTCGCATGCACATGTGCTCCCCTTGGTGAATATTCATAGCTCCTCCCACACGTGTTGAATACGTATACTTGGCCATCCCATTCAGCATAAATCCCTGTTCTACCCTCTTCTCCCTGTGATGCCATTAAAGGTCTCTGCCTGAGGCTGTGCTTCCTAGCCTGTCAGGCCACACTGCAGGCTGTATCCCTTTACAAGAACCAAGCTCTCCTTTCTAAATGTATACATGTCATGATTTTTCAGTGGACACAGCAGGGGGTGGAGGGTTGGAAATACTTTAAAGGTATCTATCCCTTTTCACAATGTCTCTCTTAACCCTCTTCAATTAACTACCAGTCAAGTCAAGCAAGCCTTCTGTAAATTACACATTTTGAGGAGCTTTTATGCAAGAATGCATCAAGACAATAATCTGGCCCGTTCTACATGGCTCAGGGTCACTATTACCGCATCCGGCATGAACACACTATCTCACAGCCAAAGCCTGACGGACTGCAGAGAGGGCTGGGGCCACTTGCTTCTGGAATAGTGACCCTAGACTGTCTGGCTCTTTTGAGCCTTCATATCTGCTTTCTAAAAGTTTCTGTTCATTTCTACACTCTGTCCAGCCCACTTCAAGGGGTTTATTAAAACTCATAGCATAGGTATATTTTCCCTAAATTGTTTCTCATCTGCTAAGGGTTAAGAAACTAGATAACCAGGTTTGTAGAATTGTATTGTCATGGTTAAAGGGGTCTGAGTGCCCAGTTTCCTCCATGAAAGAGATTCAGATTGATTTACTACTCAACACCTACTTAAGCAGCTCAGAGGTGTTTCCTTAAACGTTTTTAATCCTTCCGGTATTAAAAAAACCCCACAAAACCTTAGGTTCCTCTAGTGTTCTAGAGTCTAGAAGTTGCTGGATAGAGGTATTTAAGCTGCTACAGTTCACTTTGAAGAAACTATTTCAGTGGCTACAGTTTTGTGACTTTAAAGTTATTTAGGGACAAAAGAACCACCTTAGGAAAAACCACTCTCTGAATGTCAGCTCTAGCTTCCTTTGAATTCTAAAACAGTTCTAAACCAACGCGGTTAGCAGGTCTCAGTTTTTGATGAGAAAGGATTCAGCTTCCACTCTTAGAAGCAGTTTGCAGAATCTTAAGAGGCTACCATAACAAATATGGTTGCCTGCATTATATAAATAAAATGGAATTCCCAAACCCTGAGAATTCTGTAGGTAAAATTCTTAGCAACTCTGTGAATTATTTGGAGAATTTCAAAGGTTTTTTAGTTTTATCATTATCTACATTTTCTAAAACCATATGGAAGTGGAATTCCCTCCAACAAAGTAGGACAAGTGGGTAAAAAATAGAGCAAAGCTTTAAAAAGAGACATTTTCTAGAGAACAAAGTCTTTTTTGAGGTTCTGCTCCATACATAAAGTTTTGGACCTGCTGACATTCAAAAATATGCCTGAGTCGCTTATTAAAGACAATCCAATACAATTGGTACAGTTACAATTTAGTGCAATACACTAATAAAATTGTGTCTTGTAGTTAAGTGTAGCAGCTTACCAACCTCTTTATGAAATGAAGGCTCGCGCCCAGCTGGAAAAGAACTGCTGGTAAACACCAACATCAAATTTTTACTTTGGATAACTGGATGGTCACCAGTAACAGAATTTACTTCCCTCGTACAGGCTCTGGTGCCCAGCATTCCAGAGTGCTTTGTCATCAAGTCGTACAGTTTTAACAAATGTAGAACCCAAGAGCTTTCCTTCCATTGTTTATCATCTGTCTTCCCTGCCTGGGCAGTGCTTGGTACAGCATAAATTTAAAGTCACACTTTTGGTAAGTGGTACCGGAAAAGTCAGAGAGTACAACACAGCTGTGTTGATGCTGAATCCTGGCACTCAGTCAGGACGGCACAGCGTTTCCTAAAGTGGAAGTGATTGGGACCTGATATTATGAAAGTACCTCCCTTTCCCGTCCAATCCAACTCCCTGTTTAAATCAAGAAGAAAGTTGCAGTGTTGTAGAAATGCTTTTAATCTTGATTTGGAACAAATAGCAGGGTTTGGGCTCTTCTGCAGGCACCAACAATTTTGTTTACCATCAACAGAAGGTATCTGATGGCTACATTATATTTGAAATAGCAAAATAAAGTTTACTTTATGTAAAAGAATGATTGGATTCAAACAAAAATATTAAGTAGATGATAGTCTATGTGATAGCAGCAGGAGGCAGACAAATCCCTAGGTAGACAGGGGCAGAGCCTCATTAAAACCCCACCTGCAAACCAAAGACAGTTTAAAGCCTGAAAGCCAAGCTACAAGTCTTGGATAAATCCACAGACCAGATTGATAACCTCTCTTCCCACTTGGCACGGCTTCCTCTAATTAATCACCACCCTTCACCTACTTTACATATACCTACCCTTCCCTAATTGGTTTTTTACATTGTCAAGCCCACCTTTGAGTGGTGCCTTTGTTTTAGCCTTTATTGCATACTTACAAACCGATCAGCACACACTCCGCCATTCTAAGCCCATGAAACCCCCGACTCAGCCATACCAGGGAACTGCCCACCTTTGGGTGGGGACAGGGGACACCCACTTGGGGTCCCCTCTCTGCTGAGAACTGTTTCATCACTCAATAAAACTCATCTCCACCCTTTTCCCCTTTGGTTGTCACCCTAACCTTATTATTCTTGGACGCAGGACAAGAAACTGGGACCTGCTAAACAGGAAGTGCAAATAGAGCTATAGCCCTGTAGCAGCACTCTGTTCCGCTGGTGGAACAATGGGAGAGGGAACCGCTGGCTGCCACACACCTCCATTTACTGGGCTGCAGATGGCGGGACTAAAAGAGCTGTTAATACATCCCTATTTGCCTGGCGTCTCCAAGTGTTCGGGCACCACGGCATCCCCCTCATCTGGACACCAGAGTCTGATGCCAGAGTCACTTGCCATATGCCCAGGTCATCCACAGTCCTGCATGGAGTCTGTGCCTGGGCCAGCACTTGGAACAGCCATCCAGGCCTCCAGGCTCACTCATACACCCACTCCTTGCAGGCTGAGCGTGCATAGTGGCCACGGGATCTGAGCCAGGAGGAAAGCCAAACGCACAATGTCAGGCGAGTGGGCAGGGCACCTCCTGCGGCCAGCCCAGGGCTGGAGGTCTCCAGCTGGCGAAGCGGCCCTGAAAAAAATCCCGTGTCATATGTGTTAAGAGAATAAAACAAACTGGGGAGAAGGCAGGTGTGATTGAAATTTGGCAAACACTGCACTAACATGAAAAATCTAAAGAAATTTTCCCACCAAACGCTAGCTCAGGACACTGTTAGTGCTTTTATTAAGGACTTTAAAACATGTTGTGGATATGAAAGGTACTCAATTTAGAGCTGCTAAGTGTTTCCTCACTCCCCACTATACCAGACCCAGCTGGGGCATTTCTCTTTCACCTCCAGTTGCTCCTTCTCATGGAGCTTAAAGACCATCAGGTGGGCCCGGGAGCCAGGCTCCTCAGTTGAGTTCCTGTGTGGCCAAAGGCAGCATGGGCCCTGTCTCAAACCCAGCCATGACTAGGGAGTAAATGTGCACTCGGGCAGGTTAGTTAACTGCTGAGCCTCAGTTTTTTAGTCTGTAAAATGGTTATCATGCTTACCCCCTGGAGTGCATTCATTCAACAACTTACTGGGCAGTCATTATGCACCGAAAACTGGGAATGAGGCGTTAACAATATAGTTTCTACGCTAGCAGAGCATAATTTCAGGGCAGAAGAGACAGACTCACATATAAAAATTTTAATAGCCAAGATGAGTTAGACATTCATTACATTTTATAAGTATGACACAGAAAAATAGGGGTGATCTTTGGAATATGCTGAAGAAGTAACATATAAATGAGACCCAGAGGGCCAAAAGGAACCTGCTGTCTAAATGATGGGGTGAAGAGCATTCCAACTAGAGGGTACCCAGCCTGCAGCGATGGGAAAGAGATCATAAAAAAGGACTTAGGCAAGGCAGGCAACGGTCCAGGATGAAGGGGGTGAGGGGAGAAGACCCGTTAAAGAAATTGGATTTTATGCTATGAACAATGGGGTCTCACCTAGGGCTTTAAGAAGAAGGGGGGTCCGAATTGCATTTATTTTTTTTGAGACAGAGTCTCGCTCTGCCACTCAGGCTGGAGTGCAATGGCACAATCTCGGCTCACTCCAACCTCCGCCTCCCAGGTTCAAGCAATTCTCCCACCTTAGCCTACCAAGGAGCTGGAATTACAGGCACCCGCCATCATGCTCGGCTAATTTTTGTAGAGACGGGGTTTCACCATGTTGGCCAGGCTGATCTCGAACTCCTAACCTCAAGTGATTCACCCGCCTCGGCCTCCCAAAGTGCTGGGATGACGGGCGTGAGTCAACGCGCCCGGCCTTCGATTTGCCTTTTTAATACAACTGTGTGCGCTCCAACTCTGTGGAGAACGGTTTGGAGACAAAGGAAGTGAGAGGGCTCTTGCTGAAGGCGTTCGACGGTACCGATTCGGAAGGTAAGTGATGACAGCAGCTGCCAACCTTACTGTGTGATCATCTGGGGCCGGCCAGGCACGATTCGAAGCGCCTCATCGGGTGTAAACTCGCTTCACCCTCAGGACAACTCTATACTACGTACCGTGACCGTCCTCCTATACTGGGAAACCAAGCACAGAAAGCTGTCTGGCACGTGGTGGGCGCTTTCCTACTCACTTTCTGGGACCACGCACCAGTAAGCTTAGGTCTGGGAATAAAAACCCCAGCAGGGGCCCCTAGCGCCGCGCCCAGGCAGGACACAGGTCTCCGCGGCGCCTGTGAGCGCCCCCTGAGACGTTGTGATCAGAGGAAACCGAGGCCCCGGGGCCGAGGAGACCCTGCCCCGTCTTCCCGGCCGCGCCGCTTCCTCGCGGTCTGCCTCCAGCCCTGCAGGACCCCCAGCAGCCCGCGAACCGCGACCGGTCAGGAGCAGGATCCCGGACCCGACCGCAGCCCGCGAGAGACCGCACCGAGTCCGCGCCCGCTGCCGCCCAACACGTACCTGAGGCGCACGGAACCCACGCTCGCCTCGGATCCCGCCCCTTCGGCGGCCGCCGCGCATGCGCGCAGTTGAAACCCTCGGGGCAGCGGCGCGGGGCTCGAGGCCCGGCCCCTTCCCCTTCCGGGGAGTGCACCGCTGGGTCCTAAAGCCCGCCGGGTGTTTACCCAGGACGGGGCTGGGGAGACCTCGTCTCCCCTAGCTCTTGGCTGACCTCCTGGACACTTCTTAAAACGAATGGAGAACCAGAAAGGCGTCCCCTAACTTCTCTCTAGTTAACTACGAGCAAGACTCACCCTCTTTACGGAATTCTCATGGCTCAGGCTCCCGGGACTCCATGCAGCGGCGTTTGGTTTAAAGTGGAGAGAGGATACGCTTAGGATAAAGGCAGCTGCAAGGAGACCTGTGTCCTGGGAAGGGCTGGGTGCAGACTTTGAAATCTGCTTTAAAATAAAATGTTAAATGAGTTCCCATCGGACATAGAACTTCGAATGTCTGTTCCTTCTTCGTAACAGTTGCGTTCTTTTAAAATCTTCTGAGAAACGGAACTCGCCCCACAGTCCTTGCCTTCAATAAGGATGTTTGCTGTGGGATTTGGGCTCGGTGCTATTTATGGTATTTATTCTTGGAATCTCTCCCAAACTAGGCATGTCTTCCAGAGGACTGAGTGAAATACATTTGTTTAAACATAACGGCTCGTTTCGTTCGTTCATCGAAGATCTACTTTGTGCCATGTACAGTGCTAGGTGCTGGGGTTATCTGGAGGACAGAGCAGATGTAGTAGCTACCCTGGGAGCTCGATCTCAATGACTTGCTGATCTGAATGAGAATCCTGGACTTGGCTCTTTTCGTTTGGTTGTCTTTATGTTTGTTCACACTCTTTTTGTCTCCAATAATGTTTAGCATAGTGCCATAGATCTAAATGATTAAAAGTAACTTACTGCAAGATGGAGGGAGAGAATGAAATAAATCATGAACCAGGCATTGAACCAGCAACTAGAAGCGCTTGGATTTCCGGCCACACGCAACTAGTAACGGGACAGACAGGGGGCGGAGCCAAGTGCTGGGGGCAGGCCTGGGCGCCTCACTGCCAGGGCGGCTCCTAGGAAACTTGATTAAACAAAGGCTCTGGCCAATAGCCCTGCGGGATTAACGCGAGTGGGCTGGCAGGTTGTCCAATGGGAGGAGACGACGGAGTTGCGCGGTGAAGTTCGGCTTCCTGAGCCGCGGCGGGCGTTGCTGCATTAGGCTGCGAGCCAGGCCGGGGCAGCGGTGGGCGGTGGTTGGGGTGCTGGGGTTCGGTTGTTGCAGTCGCGATGTTTTTCTCCGAGGCCAGAGCCAGGTCGCGGACGTGGGAAGCCAGTCCCTCGGAACACAGGATGTGGGTGGAAGTAGGTGTCCGGAGGGCGACTGAGCCTCGGACTTCAGCTTGGCCTGGGTCTCTCGCTTTCTCCCCGCCGCCTGGGTCTGACTCTGCCGGGTTGTACAGATAAGACCTGGGCTGCCTGTCCAAAGGGTCGTGGTTAATGACTGATCCTGGAGCTGCAGGGCTCCTGGCTCCCCGTCCAGGACTACGGCTACCTCCAAGTTCCTTCTCCTTTTCCTCTACATAGTCTATTAATGGTAACCACGAATCTGCCATCTCTCCTCCGGCCTTTAAAAGCCAGCCCCTTTGCCTCACCTTCCTAACTCCAGGACTGAATTTTGGGTAGAATTTATCTCGGTGGTCTAAGTGAATTAATTTGCGTCATCCTAGCGATTAACTGGTTTTACTTTCTTGAGGGAAATTTCAGCCCATCTTTAAGAAGATTTTAGTCCATCTTTGATTTTTCTTGAGAATTAATATTGGGATCATGAAATTCTATTTTCATACTCTACCGCTGGGCCAAGTTTTAGATTTTCGAGGTCCAAACTATATAAATTAGTAATAAAAATAAGAAGAAACAGTTTCTGTCTCATTAACTAAAGCTATTTAATGTTCTTCAGGTATTTAAGGCATGTGATGAAGATCACAAAGGATATCTCAGCAGAGAGGACTTTAAAATTGCTGTCGTAATGCTGTTTGGATACAAGCCCTCCAAGGTAGAGCTTTCTTATATGTTTGGGGATGGGGTAGACGATCAGTGGTGAATGGACCTTAAGAAAAGTCCACAGGACTCGCTTAGGATGTTTATAAATTGCTTTATAAGCAATTTCAGAGATATGCCCAGTGCTGAATTTTAGCTTCCTCTTAACACCTCAGCCCAGAGATGAAGTAGAAATCTTTTCCACTGGAGCCTACACAAGCCTATCTCACTACCAGGCTGCTAATAACCATTATAAATACGAGACGCTAGAGAGGTGCCAAGAGGGAAGGCCCAAAGGACAGTGTTGGTAACAGGATAAATTTACATAGGACGTGACATAGTCTTTTTCTTGTTTTACTTTTGTTGCTTTGTTTATAAAATACATTCACAGTCAAAAAATTAAAACAGTGCAGAAAGGTATAATGTTGAGCATAAAATCTGCTCCCCGCCTACGAGAGGGTCCGGCTCCTAGGGGATTACCATTAACAGTTTTTTGTGTAATTCTGAAATTTTCTATCCATGACATATATATGCATAGTCTTTTATTGAAAGCAAAAATGGGTAAATATTGTGCCTACTTTAACTTGCTTTTCTTATTTAACAATATATCAACCTAAAAGCACACACCACTATCACATTTTAAAATATAGTTGCACATTATTCTTTTTAGCCAGGTTCTTGTGTGGGGTTATATATGTGTTTTTGTTTGTTTGTTTTTGTTTTTTTCCTACAAACATTGCTGCAATGATACACACATTTATGTCCTTGTGGCTGTATATCTGTGGAATAAGTTCCTAGAAGTATAAATGCTAGGTCATGAAATATGTACATTTAAAGTTTTGTTGGATATTTGCTCTCCAGAAAAGATTGCACCAATTCACCAATAATGAGAGTTGAGCTGAGCTTCCATGAACCTCCTACTTGAGTAGGGCAAGCTTCCTGTTCACCCCTGTCTTTATGCTTTTCTGCTTTCCTGTTACATTCATTCTAGAGACAACGCCCTTCTTGTTAAGCTGGAATTGGTCATGGTCGAGATATTGTCCAGATTCAAGAAATTGAGCTGCCACCATCAAGCAAAGGGAGCACTCAGGGCTCGGCCTGGAATGCCGTCCCTCACTCTCATTAGACCAGACAGCTTGGCAATTAATTAGGGCCCAGCTGTTCTTGATGAGTGGGCTCTGCCTTTCTGTCAGATTGAAAGCCCAGCGAAAGCCAGGGACCCTGTGATGTCATGCTTCTCTGCTCTATTTGTGTCAACAGAACATACTCTGAAGTTGTGATGCACAATAAGTATTAATATATTCTCTTGACCCAAGTAGGCTGCATGGACAGCCCAGGTGGGTTCAGAGTGGCTCAGCTATGAGGGGATGCCTAGTTACTGAGAAGCTTATTATAGCGCTCAGAGAAGTAGTCAGGGCCAACTCTTAGAAATTGCAGCTCTCCTGTTTACCTGTAATCATTTCAGCTGGAATTAAAAAGCAGGTCAGCTAAAATGAGTCAGCCTGTGAAGCGTTGTATTTAACTTGGATTCACCTGGAAAGGTATCTTGTCTCATTTTGCCTTTCTCACCCTTGAGTCTACTTGATTTCAATTTTAGAATGAGAAATTTAATGACAAATACAATGATGTAACATACTGTACATACACTCCATGAAATTTAACAGATTTTACTTTTCATACTGGGATGAGGTTTTCCATTTTATTTTTTAAGCAAATGTACTATTTACTAACCAGAGATCACTAAACGGTAAAGTATTCACTAATAGCATGTCACCTATAAACTTAGTCATTTGTACAATGAACTTTTATTATGCAAGTGACTCTATATAATTTCTGTGAAATTCAACAGATTTTTTAGACTAGGTTGAGGTTTGGGGCTTCATTTTTGAACATTGCTTTTGAGCAAATGAAATATTTACTGACTGCAGGTCATGAAGCAATAAAATACTTATATAATAAATCACTTATACACTCATGCGGTTGTTTACATAATTTATTTATTTTTTGAGATGCAGTCTTGCTCTGTCACCGAGGCTAGAGTGCAGTGGCGTGATCTAGGCTCACTGCAACCTCCACTTTCCAGGTTCAAGCAGTTTTCCTGCTTCAGCCTCCAGAGTAGCTGGGACTACAGGTGCACACCACTATACCTGATTCTTTTTTTTTCTTTTTTTTGTATTTTTAGTAGAGACGGGGTTTCACCATGTTGGCCAGGCTGGTCTCCAACTCCTGACCTCGAGTGATCTGCCCACCTCAGCCTCCCAAAGTGCTGGGATTACAGGCGTGAGCCACCGCGCCCACCCACACATAATGAAATTTATTGTTTCTATTTAATAAAAGGAGTACTTGCTAGTTGCTAGTGATATAAAGATGAATGAAACACAGTCTCTACTTTGAAGCAGTTCAGAGTTTAATGTAGAAAGACATAAAACTGTAATAGATACCAAGAAAGAGAAGAGATTGAAAAACAAAGTGAAGGGAACAAAGAAGGAAGGCCTAATTCTAGTGGTAACTCTAACGGTCTGGGTAGTCATTTAGACTAGAGAAGATAGATTACTCTGGTAAGTATCTAGGAACACTTTGTGGGTGGTGGGACAAGTTAGGCCCTGATGACTGGCTGGATGCAGTGGTGGTAAGGGTGACATGACCACCAGGACTGAAGGGATAGCGATGCCACCAATTAAGAGAAAATTTAAGAGTAGGTTCAGAGGAAGTCAGTGAGTTTCGATTGGAACACATTGAGTTTGAGGCAGCTATGAGCATTCCAGGTGCATTCACTCATTAAATAATGTGCTGTCTATTGAGGTTATGGTGGTGAAAATCCGCTGTTAGATTTTACTGCTTCCCTGAGATGTAGGAATCTGAAATTGGGTGGAGAGGGTAGGGCTGGAGATAGGCTTGGGGATCCTTGGTTTGCATGTGGTTGCTCAAAACATGAGGCTGGATGGCATTGCCCAGGAAGAGTATGCAGAATAGGAATACCAGCATTTAAGGATAGGAAGGGACTTGAAGAAGTTGGAGTGGGAACCATTTGGCAGGGACAAGAGGCACCAAGAAAATGCAGGAAATCCAAGACTGGGAAGAGTTCAAGACCAGAAGTGGAGAAATTATGTCAGATGCCACCAAGGCTTTAATACTATAGTGTTTATAAAGCCCTTTTAACAGTGTGGTAAAGGGCTAATATTTTAACATTTAGTGAAAGCAGGTCCTCATGTTTTCTGTACAGTAAAATCTCCAATGTTTAAACATGCATAGGGGAAAAAAGCTGATTAGTCTAAAATGATAACTGATTTTCACTGGATGACTGATTTTTTAATTTTCCTTATAATTTTTTGTGCTTTCTACATCAATCATGTGGTACTTTTATAACCAGGAAAAAAAATTTAAAAATAGAGCCATAGTGCCCATTATAACAATTGTTTGTATTTGTCTGAAGTAGAAAGGCTGCCTGTTAGATTATATATGGGACAGCCAAATTGATTTTCTGTGCTTAAACTGTTTTGGTCAGTGGAATAAAGTTTTGGGGGCTATTAGAGGCTAGCAGATTAGTGTCTGCTATTTTATAGATGTTGATGGAAAAGTAAAATGACTATTAGAGCTATTGTGTGTCATTGCTTGTATGCTTGGTTCAACAGACTTGGTTTCTCATAAAATAGATGCTTATTCCCACCTGAAGTATTAAGAACTTGCACTGTGAGGGCCGGGCGCGGTGGCTCAAGCCTGTAATCCCAGCACTTTGGGAGGCCGAGACGGGCAGATCACGAGGTCAGGAGATCGAGACCATCCTGGCTAACACAGTGAAACCCCGTCTCTACCAAAAAAATACAGAAAACTAGCCGGGCAAGGTGGCGGGTGCCTGTAGTCCCAGCTACTCGGGAGGCTGAGGCAGGAGAATGGCGTAAACCCGGGAGGCGGAGCTTGCAGTGAGCTGAGATCCGGCCACTGCACTCCAGCCTGGGCGACAGAGCGAGACTCTGTCTCAAAAAAAAAAAAAAAAAAAAAAAAAAGAACTTGCACTGTGAAAACATTTGATAAAATTACATATTCTATTATTTTTTCCTCTTTTCTAGATAGAAGTGGATTCTGTGATGTCTTCAATAAATCCAAATACTTCTGGTAATATGAAAGTTAATATTTTTAGTACCTTATTTAGACACTGAGATGGCTTGACTGTGTCCCTACATCAGTCTCATCTCAAATTCCCATGTGGTGTGGCAGGGACTTGGTGGAAGGTAATTGAATCATGGTGGTGGGTTTTTCCCATGCTGTTCTCATGATACCAGATAAGTCTCATGAGATCTGGTGGCTTTATAAGGGGGGGTTTCCCTGCACAAGCTCTCTCTTTGCCTGATGCCATCCATGTAAGATGTGACTTGCTCATCTTTGCCTTCTGCCATGATTGTGAGGTTTCCCCAGCCACGTGGAACTGTAAGTCCATTAAACTTCTTTCTTTTGTAAATTGCCCAGCCTTGGGTATGTCTTTATCAGTAGCGTGAAAACAGACTAATAACACTCACAAAATGAAAATTAAAAACAGAAACTAGGCTGGGTGCGGTGGCTCACACCTGTAATCCCAGCACTTTGGGAGGCCAAGGCGGGTGGATCACCTGAGGTCAGGAGTTCGAGACCAGCCTGGCAAAGATGATGAAACCCCGTCTTTACTAAAAATACAAAAAATTAACTGGGCGTGGTGGTGGGTGCCTATAATCCCAGCTGCTTGGGAGGCTGAAGCAGGAGAATCGCTTGAACCAAGGAGGTAGAGATTGCAGTGAGCCAAGATTACAGCATTTGCACTCCACCTAGACGCCATTGCACTCCAGCCTGGGTGACAAGAGTGAAACTCTGTCTCTAAATAAATAAATAAATAAAAACTATATAGCATTATATTTAAGCACATCTTTGTTTTATTTCTCATTGTCCAAAAGGTTTTGGTGGTTTTTATTTTATTTTTTAATTTTTAATTTTTGTAGGTGTATATATAGAGAGGTGGTACATGAGAAGTTTTGATGTAGGCATGTTATGTGTAATAATCACATCTTGGGAAATGGGATAACTATCCCCTTGAGAATCAATCCTTTGTGTTACAAACAGTCCAATTATACTCTTATTTTTAAATGTTTATTATTTTGACTATAGTCACCCTATTGTGCTATCAAATACTAGGTATTACTAGTCACATCATGGAGAATGGGGTATCCTTGCTATCAAGCATTTATCTTTCGTGTTACCAAAAATCCAATTATACTCTTTTGGTTATTTTTTAATGTACAATTAAGTTGTTATTGACTATGGTTACTATGCTGTACTATCAAATACTAGGTCTTATTCTATTTTTTTTTTTAATTTTTTTAATTTTTTATCCATTAGTCATCCACACCTCTCCCCAACTCCCCCACTACCCTTCCCAGCCTCTGGTAACCATCCTTCCACTTTCTTTGTCCATGAGTTCAATTGTCTTGATTTGCAGATCCCAAAAGTGAGAACATGCAGTGTTTGACTTTCTGTGCCTTACTTGACCTAACATAATGACCTCCCATTTTCATCTGTGTTGTTGCAAATGACAGGATCTCATCTCTTTTTTACTGCTGAGTAGTACTCCACTGTGTGTACCACATTTTCTTTATCCATTCATCTGTTGATGGACACTGAGGTTTCTTCCAAATCTTGCCTATTGTGGACAATGCTGCAACAAACAGTATATGAGAGTGCAGATATCTTCCATATGCTGATTTCCTTTCTTTTGGGTATATACCCAGCAGTGGGATTGCTGGATCATATAGTAGCTCCATTTTTAGTTTTTTTGAGGAGCCTCCAAATGGTTCTCCATAGTGATTGTACTAATTTACATGCCCACCAGCAGTTTATAAGAGCTCTCTTTTCTCCACATCCTTGCCAGCCTTTGCTATTGCCTGTCTTTTGGATAAGCCATTTTAACTGTGGTGAGATATTATTGTAGTTTTGATGGCATTTTTCTGATCAATGATACTGAGCACCTTTTACATATGCCTGTTTGCCATTTGTATGTCTTCTTTTGAGATTCTTTTAATTTTGATTATTTATAAATATGTTTATTACAGGGAAATTTTAAACCGTTGAAGTGCATAAAGAAAAAATATCACTCATAATTTTAACATTCAAAAAATGATACTAGGTTTTCTGACTTTTGCAGCTGGATGAATGGACATGGCACCTACTGAAAAGAGAAGATGGCAGGCGGGTGGGGCCATGGGGTGGGGGCAGGGGGCGGGCAATGCTTGGGGGTAAGGGAGACTAAGAGCTCAATTTTGAATATGTTTGAGAAGTGTTAGTTTACTATGTCCAAGCAGTCGGACTGGATGAATTTCAGAAGTAAGTTCTGGGCTGAAGAAATGTGGGAGTCATCAACCTGAAGACAGATTTTAAAATAATGAGAATGGATGAGACCACTTAGATAGAGTGGACTGAGAATGTTAAGAACCCTAGCCAGTAGAAGTCAGATGGAAGATGAAGAAATGGTGAAGGAGACTTAGGAGTGATGGAGGCGCAAGAGGAAAATCGAGTGTTTGATCAAAAACCAAGAGAAGTAGATATTTTAATGAGGAAGGTGTGCTCAGCATTATCAAATGCTCCTGAAAGGTGAGGTGGCATAACTGATGAGTATCCTTTGCAGTTGGCCACCTGGAGGTGTTTGGTGACTTTAGCAAGAGGCATTTCAAAGTGTGGTGAGGGCAGACTGGGTTGAAAATAAGTGGAAAGTGATGGTAAAGTGCAACAATGTGAGTAGATGAGTCTTTCATTAAGTCCAGAGTGGCAGTGGATCAAGAGATGTTTTGTTTGCTTATGATTGTTAATATGTGTTTCCAGGCTTAGCCGAATGATCTAGTGAAGAGGAGGAAGGAAGATGAGAGAGACGGAGGGAAGAGACCTGTTGTGTAAGGGGAGAGGATCCAGAGCATGTTGGATTGGCTTTTTAAATATTACCTTTTTTTGAATAATTTAAAACTTCCAAAAAGTTCAAAATAAATTAGTACAGAGAATAGCTTACTCTCTGTATAAGGTACACCTTTTACCCAGATTGACATTGTTAACATTTTACCCCATCTTCCTTCTCCTTTGCACTTTCTACCACTATCCCCTTCTCTTCTATACTGAACATAACCACAGTATGCTTATCATGTTCATAAATATAGGTTGATACTGTGTTTTATCTGATTTATCATCTATGTTTTGTCGGTTTATCTAATAACATCCTTAATAGTATCTTTCCTTTTTTAGTATGTTAAAAAATCATAAGTGTATCTAGGGAAAAGAAAGACACATTATGTGAATAGGAACAAAGCTAAAAATGACAGCAGTTGGCTGCTGGTGGTGACTCACACCTGTAATCCCAGCACTTTGGGAGGCCAAGGCAGGAGGATTGTTTGATGCCAGGAGTTCAAGACCAGTCTGGTCAACATAGTATGAGACTCTATCTCGACAAAAAAGCACAAAAAAAAAAAAAAAAAAAAAAACAAAAACCATAGCCAGGCATGATGGCACGTGCCTATACTCTTAGCTACCTGGGAGGCTGAGGTAGGAGGATCCCTTGAGCCCAGGAGTTTGAGGTTGCACTTAGCCATTATCACACCACAGCACCCCAGCCTGGGCGACAGAGTGAGACCTCATCTCTTAAAAAAATTAATTAATTAATTCAAAAGAAGGAAGAAAATGGGAACAAAAATAGATGGAAATAGACAAATAGAAAACAATATGGTAGATTTAAATCCAGTCATTAATGTTTTAGTTAGATGTAAATGATCTCAACAGCCCCATTGAAAGGGAGATACCGTTAAATTAGATAAATGAGTACAAACTAACTCTGTGTTGCCTAGAAGCCCCCTTGAAATATAAGGGCAAAAAAGATTAGAAATATATACTGTACTGAACACTAACCAAAAGAATGCCAAAGTGAGCATGTTAATATCAGATGCAGTAGACTTCAGAAGAAGGAATATTACCAGGGATAAGGACAGCCAGTTCATTAAGGGAATTAAATATTTATGCCCCTGGCTGGGTGTCATGACTCAAGCCTGTAATCCCAGCACTTTGAGAGGCCAGTGCAGCCAGATCACTTGAGGCCAGGAGTTTGAGACCAACCATGATGAAACCCCATCTTTATGAAAAAATCCAAAAAAATTAGCTGAACATGGTGGTGCATACCTGTAATCCCAGCTACTCGGGAGGCTGAGGCATGAGAATTATTTGCGCCCGGGAGGTGGAGGTTGCAGTGAGCCCAGATTGCACCATGACACTCCAGCCTGGGTGACAGAGCAAGACTCAGTCTAAAAAAAAAAAAAAAAAAAAAAAAAAAATCCCTTAATAATGGAAATTCAAAATACATGAAGCAAAAAACTAATAAAACTATAAAGAAAAATGGACAAATCCATGATCATGGTAGGAGGCTGCAACACCCCTATCAATAATTAATGAAGCAAGTAGACATAAAATCAATAAGGATATAGGAGACGTGAACAACACTGTCAACCAGTGTGACCTAATTGTCATCTATAGAATGTTCTACCCAACAACAGCAGAATACACATTCTTTTCAAGTCTACACAGCATATTTAATAAAATTGGTCATACTCTGGGCCATTAAACATGTCAATACATTTAAAGTACAAAGTATGTTCTTTGTGATGGAATTATATTAGAAATCAATAGCAAAGCTGTCTGGAAAAGTTGCAAATAGTTGTTCCAAATAAAAGTTTAAAAGTTCCAAATAAATAGTACACTTCTAAATAACTCATAGGTCAAAGAAAAAAATCAAAAGGGAAAAATTAGGAAGTATTTTGAATTGAATGTAAAGACCACATTTCAAATTTTGTAGGATGGATTGAAAGCAATACTTGGAAAGTGGTAGCACTAACTTTCTATGTTTAGGAAAGAATAAATGTCTCAAACTGATGACCTCAGCTTCTACCTCTAATTAACTTCCACCTTTAACTACAAAAGAAGAGTAAATAAGGCCCAAAATAAGTGGAGGAAAGGAAATAGTAAAGATTGTAATGGAAATTGATGAAATTGGAAAGAGGACAAACAAAAAAAAATTAAAAGCTGATTTTGTTGAGGTAATCAATAAAAATGAGAAACTACTA